GCGTCGGACGGTCCAGTGTGTTGGTGCTGACTCTTGTGCGTCGAGGAAAAGGCCCCAGATTCAGCTTCAGTGACAGATGCGAGTACTTGTGGCATGAATTTGCAAGGGACATTTTGATTGAGCCGGAGTTGGGAGGAGAATTTGTTGTACGGCCGCTACTGGTACGATCAAAACACTCGTGCGCACTCCGCACAACTGAGGTCTTACGGAACGCTTCAATGTGAGTGATACGGTACAGTACCGGTAGTACCGATGCATAGCGGATTCATCTTCCAAGAGCGAAGTCGTTTCCTCCTCCATAGGGTATGGAAAAATCTGAGTTACTGGTAAAGTAGAGTACGATTTTTCCCCACAAGACTTCGCTAATAGAACACTGGAGCGCACACTCCAAAATTCAAATCTCAACTCCTAACTCTCGTGGGTCTTGTAAGAGTCACATGGAAGCAACGAAAACTTATTCGCTGAGGCGCACTGTACGTTGGAGGTCTCATTCGTACCTCCATCGAACGACCTCACATTTTCGTGTCCGTACGGAAGTTCGCGAAAGTCGTCGAGTCATTGAATACCCTCCACTACAACAAAGCTGCTACATCACCATGTTGTTTACTGCTAGTCATGTATTCAAAGAGTGGCTAGATGTTAACAATCGCTACCCTTACAATGAGATGAGGAAAACAAGGCAGACTTATGTATGCAAGCATGTTTTGCTGGAGGATCAAACAGACAGGGAAGATCCCAAAACCCAGTACTATCTTGTGAAGACCAGATACCTGTCCACTGGCATCCTGGAGCAACTCATCATGGAAGGGAATGCGCTGCCCATGACACCTGACCAGACTTGGTTGCTGGATGAGATGTTTGTGTGGGGTGTCAGGCACAGCCATGAATGGTACAGTGATGTTCTTGCTGAGCTGGCATGGGAAGTGTATGAGCATGAACCTGTCACAAGGAAAGAGATGTGCAAAGAGGCAATCAGACCACTTATGAGAGGAGTTCTCTATACTCAGTTTGGTGTGTGGCACAGTGAGGCAAAACAGTTGTTACTTACTGAATGGAGTCATTGGTTTGACACAGAGTGCTGGAGCCAGCACAAACACAACCTGAGTGGCATGACAATCAGTAGTGAGGAGTACCTTTCCAACAGAGCTGCATTCACTGCCCATCATGGTGGCTACTCTTACCCAATGCACTAAGACTGATTTATGTCTGAAAAGCAAGAAAAGAAAAGAGGAGCAACAGCTGTAAGACTTGTTGTTGTTTGTTATCCAACTAGTAGCCAACAGTAACACAAGTAAAAACATACCTTGATGTCAAACCAGTTCTCTCTTTCAGTACAGTTGCTGTGTGTTTCCTTGGTGCATGTAGGTCCATACCCTTCATCAGGAGAATGGAAAGTCTTCCTTTGCCAACAATTGCCACAGTAATCTCTTGTGCACTCCTTCCCAACACTCTCAATTCCTTCAACATGATCCTTTCTCTTGTGGCCACAGGTGATGCAGTAGCGCCTGCTTCTAAATACCCTCCTTGGTGGCCTGAGCGGAGGATGAGGTCTTGGTGCTCTGGCTGTTGCCAAGGCATAAGGTGCCACATTTCTTTCTTGCACTTGGACTCTCTCATTCATTCCTGTTACTCTACCAAGTGCCATGGGTGGATTCAATGTTGCTGGATTGCCAAAGGGAGTTCTGTCACCAGGATGCTGCACATAGTTAGTTGCTGGAGCCTGAAATGGCGCTGGTGTGTTAGGCAGAGTCTCTCTTGTTTGGCGAAGACTCCCATTCAGCTCATGTCTGTGGCCATCATTGGCATTTGGTGCTGTTGCTTGAAGTGTGGAAAGCTCCCGCCTCTTCTTCAAATACATCTCCAACTGTTGTCGGCTCTTTCGGTTGATCTGGACAATGCTGTCATCGCCTTCGCTCCAAGCCTTGAATCGTCTCGCGACTTCATTATTCCAGCGCCGTTCGAAAGCTTTGTAGTTTGGCTTGCCTCGACCTTGCATATTGTAGTTACCGTGTTCTTCGGTGAAAAAGCTCTCTTCTTCGCGATCAAGTGCAGTAGGGGCTCTTGTGCTGTCAGGGTATCGGAAGGGAATCCATGGCTGCTTGTTGGAAAGCTTGGTGAAGGATTCCAGTGTGGATTCACGACCGTTCGTCTCAGGAATCAGTTTCGCTAATTCGCTGTAAATCTCCAATCTGTTAAGAGCATCTGCTTCACGGATTGATGCTTCCTCTGCAATGTTGTCCAACTCGCGCTCTCTCTCTAAGTCCACATTCTCAGTGGTCAAATCGTCAGGCTCTTCAACCTCAACCTCCACCGCCAAATCTTCCTGTTGGCAACCTTGTGAATTGGTGACTGGTTCCACTAGTTCTTCCCCGATCACTGGTTCATCCTCAGTGTAGTTATTGTCGCTGTTGGTGGTGGGGTTAGAGACGTCATGGATGTCCTCGCTAACTCGATAAGAGAAGCCCATGTACTCAGGAGGTCCCCCACTGTCTATTGTAGGGGCGCTGACACCTTGAAATGGAAGCTCAGTGTCACTATAACCAACCTTCTTGGCAAAGGAATTAAGAAACAGTAGTCTCTCAGTTTCCACTGTACCATATTCTTTATCTCCACATCAAGTAACAGCTTTTCGATGGTTCCGTTCTTCAAAGAAACTGATTAACGTCAGCCTGATGGATACCTTTCAAGAACCATTGAGGAAGTCAGTTAGTCAATGGCCAGAAAAGGAAGAGCAACAAGGAGATAACGTACCAATGCAAGTGAGCCAGAGGATAGCAGATCAAGGTTGTCTCGCTCATTGGTATTGGTTCCTCTAACAAGATAAGTAATTCCTGTCACTGGATTGCGTCGGTGAATCTTAACGTGAGCAGGATCACTGAGGCAGTTCTTGTCGATGTAAGTAAATAGCTGTTTGATGAGGTCTCTTGTTGCCGTACCACTCTTCAGGAACAACTTTGGCGAAGGCTGATCGTTGTTGGCGGCATTATCTTCCGCCGTTGACAAAATCAATTCTGTTTCTGCATCCTTGGCGCGAATGTATTTCAACACTGCCTCCACATTCTGCCGAAGCAATGCTGGCTCTGGTATCACAGCATTTGCCTCTGCCATGATTTCCTTGTGAGTTACCTCTCGCTTTTTCTTGGCTTCAACGACAGCTTTGGCACGTTCATATTCGCTTGGCTCAACATTGAAGAGAGCACGGCTGAGAAGACCTCTGAACACTCCACCAAGAGACGAACTGGGATCTTTCAGGATAGGATTCCATCTCTTCATCCAGTGGAATGGGTCTAGCTTCACTTCTGCCTCCACAAAGATCCGTTGGACAGTCCGGTACACTTGACAACAATTGTCCACGTAAAGCAACTTGACAGCTTCAATGGGTGGAACTTCCCCTGGATCTGGAAGTTCAGCTCCATCAGGAAGCAAGTCCCGAAGGACATCAATTCTCCTCTGAGTCTCCTTCGCCCAAGCATTCTTGTTCAACCTGAGTCGCAAACGCTTCAAGTCAGCCTCAATTTCAGTAAAGGATTCGCTGTACTTGAGAGCCTTCCAAAAGACTGTAAGACCATCCTCATTCTGTACAGTGATAATGCATCGAAATGGGCAGAAACTCTTGCCTTGTCCAGTCCACACGCGGATCTTGGAGGCCAGCTTGTAATTAAAATCAATCTTCAATACCTCTGCTGTAAGTCCCTTCATCTTACTCTCCTGGAATTGCTTTCGGTGTTGGAACACAGTGTTAACAATGCAGTTGATTCGATACCTGCTAATAAAGCGTCCATTGTAGCCTTGTTTGTTGTCAAACGTGGAAAACAGGGGTTGTCTTTCCTCGCTTCCAGCTTCTTCGGCATCATCGGTCTCCTCTGCCTCACCATTCGAACTAACATATTCTGCCACTCGTTGTGTTGCTTCATCCAAGGCAGCACCTGCTGTCGCCAGATCACCTTCAACCTTCTCCACACTTTCGCGGAACTTGTCATAATACGCTGTCACTTTGGACTGCCAAGAGGGGAGAAGCCTCTTCAGAGGCATTGGGTAGTCATCCGGATCAACGTTTTCGAGCTGCTTAGCAGAATGGATGTCAGCGGCAATGAGTTTCCGCAGCTTCGTAGCTCCAAGTCCTTTCAGTATGTTCTTTTCACCGAATTTGTTTCTGTCTTGTTTGTCCCCCAGCATGTGGCGAAACTTAATGTCCCTGTTCAGGCAGGTCTTGGCATGTGCCAAGTCCAGTTTGTACTTGGTCACTGCAGACTGCCGAACATTTTGGATTGACTGGAGACGTCTCAGCTCATCATCGGTTGTTGTTTTTTGGACAAACTCATCCAGTGTTCTCTGCCGCTTCTTCTTTGGCTTGAAGTTGATTTGGTCTCCACCAATGGCAGATAGATATAATTCATAGTCAGAGTAGTATGCCCGGTAGGCACTCTGCCTCAAACGTCTTACAATTTCAGATGTGCACTCATTGGCGGCAGATAATATAATGTGCGTGTACAGTTCTTCATCCACCGCATAGCCCTCCCCTAGATAAAAGTTGAAGAACGAGTTGTACACACTGGCATCAAGGGCCATGCTTTTCTTGTTGTAGCCAGTAAAACGTCTTCAACAAAGATGGCAAGGGTAAAGGACAGTATCAAGGTACATGTGGCGCTGTACACCAAAAAGAAGAATGGGATTATTCACCCACCTTCTCTTGTTCACATCTACGTAGGTGTCCTTCTTACAGTACGGGCAGGTTGGAATGTGCCCCTTGAAGTGAAGATGCGGAACCCAAACAGCGACAGGTCTAACATAGAATGAGTCCACGGTAGATTTCTTGGCGTCGGCATTCATTAGATTGCTGTTAAATCGGCCACCACCTGGCAATACCTTCCACCATTGATTGGCCTTGAAGAACTTGCGGTGGTCATTGTCGACAGCGCTTCTTGTCTTCTTTATAAACGCATCTTGTGCAGAGCCGTAAGGGCGTGGAGAAGTAACAACCGGAGCACACATCACTTCTTGTCATTGTGAGAGGTTTCGATTTGGAGAACAAAAATGCGTCAAAAAATATTGAGGGATAGGGTTTTCGCGCGCAAACTTTCAAATCGGTGGGCAAGACTAAAGAAATTTTCATTCCCATAAGCGACAATGAGATTAATAGTAGAGATAAAGTAAGTCCGACCCTTTTTCACGGAAGGCAAAGAGGTGTCTAGATTTAAAGGTTGGATGTCCGAGATATAGAGGTCCGAAAGCCATGCATGACTGGGGGGTCTGACCTCCCCCCCCCCTCTTTTTTTTCTTCTTCTTTTTTGGAACTGGTGATTCGACCTACCGGTACCCTCCATAGGCGGATGCTTTCTCTTTCCTGAGCGCAGAATCGAATCGAATCGAATCATCTTCCTGCTCGACTGGATCCTGCCTCCTCCACGGGTGTACCGGTACGTACAGTACAGTACCTGCTATTATTGGTAAAGCTGGCTACTGTACCGGTAGCTAAAGCCGCACCGGCACTAGAGGGATTATTGAGTGAGCGCTTCCGCGCCAACATTATCCAACTCCCACGCTGAAACCTTAGGTCACCCCACGCGCACAAAATAGCTTCAACAATCCCATCGCTAACACGGAAACTGACCCACGCTAATGAACCAACATCGATGAAGCGTCGTGAAGACCTTTGGCCAAGATAAGTGCGACAAAGCATCCACAGCATTATCCTCTTATCGAAGAAAGAAGAAGACTATGAACTCGAAGTTCCTGTTCCTTCTGATGAGCCTTGCCATGGCATTCAAAGGAGTTGAATCAATCAGATGGAAGAAGATTGATGTGACGCCAAATTGGAGGAGGCTATCTCAATCTGCTTGCTACTTTGTCTTTTCTCCATCAATACTTTGTGGTACCCTGGATATATCCGGAAAGGAAGAAAATGTTGAGATTGGGTTATCACAAGATAAGCAACAATCTGATCGGCCAGCAGAATGGAAGGGTCTTCGTCTCAAACGGTAGTCACCATGTGCACCCGATAGCCGAAGCATACCTTCAAACATCTTGTAGAGAGAAGAGACGATGTGTCAGTGGTTATGAACAAATCAGTGCCCATACGGCAACCTGGGAGATTTTCAGAGTCTGACCTTTCCGAAGAATTTATCGAACCAATTAAGTATGGATTGCCTCAGTCGAATGCCATTCGATTGAATCAGAATCATTCCATGCAACATTCATTAGTCAACAGCCAACAAGTGCATCCAATTAATTAACTTGTAAATAAAGTAACTGCTAACATACTGAAGGTTAGGATACTGGTATCAGATGAATGTCGTGCGGTAGTAGTAAACCAGCCTTTCTAGTTAGAGCTAGTTGTAGGCATTCGACGCAACAATAGAGAGAGAGAGTAGAGAGCCGGCTGGCAATCAGGGCATCAAAACATCGGCATCAGTACCGTAAAGAACCCATAGTAGAAGGTACCTCATCTCACGCCAATGCTTTCAGCTGGTTCACTTGTTCTTGAGAAAGAATGCCAGCAGCCAGTCCCTTGAGCAGCAATTCGTCGACTCCTTTCTTATCATCGGTAGCAGCAGCATTGGTGACTTGTTTTAAAACTGTTCGAAGAGTTTCCATTTGATGATGGAAGCCTGGATCGACGCCTTGAGCGCCTCCTTCTGGGATTTTGAACAGGTATGCGGTTGCCTTGGCTACGGGATTGCTGGCTGTATTGTGTCGAGCAAAGAAATCACACCAGACGGCACTGTCGATCATGAGGGGCACACACAGGACACTGTCCATGCATCTAGTGTACGTCAACATGGTATGCTCTTGGTGCAGAAACGCGGTAGATGTGTATTCGACGACGTCTCGTTTTTCATCTCCCATAAAGGGCACGTACATGACCTTGACCTGGTGGTCCAGATCTTGTTCGTTCCATGGTCCAAAGATGGAATGTTTGACTCTCATTTTCGCATTGAGCGTGGTTTGACTGGTGAGGTTGAGCATATCATTGTTTCCAAGGTGATTGGACGAGGCAATGACCCTGGGAGTCAATCCCAAAGCTCGAATATACTCAACAGCGGCTGTCTTGAACTTGGTTTGTCCGGCTTTGAAATCAGTTCCCAGCAGGTATGCTGGTTTGGTACTGGTAGCTGTGTCTGGTTCTTGTTCGAGTAGAGTCGTTCGAAAGGATAGCTCAAATAAAAAGTTGAGTGCAGGACCGAGAGTATTTTGAGATCCTCCGTTGACAAAGGAACATCCTTCTAGAGCAGCTGCAGTGGCGTAAATCATGGATGGAGAAATGTCCTGTGCTGCTGTATCTTTCAAGATTTTCAAAAGCTGTTGTGCCGTTTGAATGTGAGCCACATCAGCGGGCCGTTCGACACTGGCACTCCAAATGACAGTGGTGTGACCAGTGACTTGCTGTGCGGCATTGAAATCTCGAATATCCTTTCGAATGTGTTCCACTTGCTGCCAAAAGGAAAGACTAGCAGTGTCCACAATATGTGTGGCTGTCGCATGCTGTGTCTCTCCCAGAAACGTGGAGTTGTAGATTCCTTTCTTGATTTCCATGGAGTTCATTTCCTCTCTGACTTGTCGGACCAAATCATAGTCGAGAACACGACACTCATACAAAGCATCACCCAAAGGAGTTGGCCGAATATCCCAACCTCCTACAGCCGCTTCCTGAGCACTGGCCAAATCATAAACACCCTGAAAGCCAACTCCACCATGAACTCCTTTGGGTGGCAGTTGAGTGATACATCCGCCCCAATTGGGCGCTGACACTCGGCCTTTTCCGGGACAACCTCCTGACTCCCACGACAAACCATGCTTTGCTGCTGTATGACCGGCCAACAGTGTCACACCGTTGTTGCCACCCAAACCAACGATCAGAATACCAATCTTGTTACTGTCAGAACCAGACATGGCAATATCAATGGCGGCAGCTTATTATGAAGGCCACCTGCAGCTGCGAAATCAATGGATAATCAATCCAACCGACATGCAACTGTTGGGAGGTTGTCAAGTTGAGGCGAAGGCCCAATGTGTGTCAAAGTCACTGACGTCAGTGTTACAGCTTTGCAGCTTTTTTCGTTCGGCGAATTTGTTCTCATTTTTTGCGCAAAAAATGCTTTCGCCGTGCACTCCTGGTCACACCGCTGACATGAGACAAGAAGGACAACACAAAGCATCGCTTTCGCATAAAACATTCATAACAGTTGATACAGATAGAGAAGAAGGAGTGTAGACAAACGAACACACAATGGCCCGCAAAAATTCCATCCTTCCACTGATGTTTCTCATCGTTCTGTTCAGTATCTTCGTTCGAGGAGCCCAATCATTCTCTTTTAAAAGGCTTGTCCCTGTCAAACCCAGTAAAATAGCACTCTCACTTTTAGCTGCATTTGATAAAAGGATCTCTTTACAGATCTTGTAGATGAAAAAATTGAAAAGGAACAAGAAAAGTGGGAAAAGAAACTACACAAGCTCTGTACGCTTGGGCTTGATTTCTTGTGCAAAGAAGATCCATATCCTTATCTGTGTCGGCAGACGAGCACCATGTTCGAAGACGGGTCTAGTAGGAATCACAGTGGAATCTATGGAATAATCCTGTATTGACATTCTACACAACAATGTATGTGGTATACAAAAAATCGATGACCTTTGTAATGGGGGAATATATGGTTGATATGTTCATGGCACTCTACAGGCACACACGCACACGACACAACAAATACAAGAAAAGACATTTTCCTTGGGAACTCTGTTTCCAAGGACGACATGGCAAGGCTGCTTCAATAAATGCGCTGGCTACCGATTGACCAAGGACGTACAACTTCCCCAGAAGCGGAACAGAAAATGAATGAAAATAGACATACGGTACGAAATGAGATGGATGGGATGGAATGGGGTGGATTGATGTATATTTCTTCTGCCTCAGGACTGGTCCTATCCAGCTTAAATGACGTCCGTTCGTTCGCGAAATCGAAATAACGGCTCAATTTCCTCCAAATCCACACGTTCGGCGAACCGCAGAAAATGTTTATAGTAAAAAAGTGGAGCTGCGGTTCGCCGAACGTGTGGATTTGGAATTCGCGTAGGACCAATCAGAACTCATTATCTCGCACTATCCCCAACTCTAGCGAGTTTCGAAAATCAGAACTCATTATCTCGCACTATCCCCAACTCTAGCGAGTTTCGAAAATCGAAAAGTGAGATCTCCTCTCGAGCACGTCCATTGAAAAGTGAGAAGAAGTACATGCATGCATGTACTACTACCGTAGTAGCCATCCGTTTTCACCCTAACCCTGATGAGTTCGGCTTATTCGCGAATGACGTATCTGCGAATGGTTAAGAATGAAAACACATACGCGAAAATAAATGTGTTTCCTGTGCGAACGTACGAACCACATGAATGTGGTTAGGACCAGCCCTCATGCTTTCCATGTGATCCAAGGCTGATTAACTTTAGAAAGGATAAATAGCCCTCAACTTGGTTAGGGCCCTTGTGAATTTTGTTTGGATGTTTGTCTGTTTGTCCGTTTGTCCGTTTGTGTGTCACAGTTTTTAGCCGTAACCCTAATAATGGTAGCCTGGCCAAATGCAAATTGCAAAAGAGGAACAAATAATAGAGTATGTAGCTAGCTACTGGCTAATTGGCACTGTACCATAGCTCCCAAGCAGCCAACTGATCATTACCTAGCTAGCTAGTAGCAGAGCCTAATATCTTGGCTAGCTAGATAGCTACCAAAGCAGCCAACTGTTTATTACCCAGCTAGCCAGAAATGGGCTCTATCCAGCTAGGCAGCAGTAGCAGAACTAGCTAGCTTGGCAACACATTGTTTCCAACCAGCCGAATGATTCCAAACTCGTTGAGGGCTCATGCCTTCGGCAGCCTCAATTCTATGTGCGTAGTGTAATCTTACTGTACACATTGCAATAGGTGCTGTGCAGGAGCGGCTGATAATCCGCGAATCGTGGCAGGATCCGCGGATTTAGCGGTTTTCCACGAATCCGCGATCCACGAAACGATCCGCTGATCCGCGAATAACCGCGAATAACCGCGAGAATCCGCGAGATTTAAGAACCATGGCCAACTTGCTCCTCTATATCTTTTAAAAGTGGCATCCTAAATCTCGCGAATTTTCGCGGTTATTCGCGGCTGCGCTCGCGGATTCGCGCCGCGGCCGCGCGCGAGTCGCGGATTCGCGGAAGAGGTGCTCGCGAGTCCCGTTTTCTGGCGCTCCTGTGTTTGGTGGTTGTTTCGTCATTGGAGTGTACAGAGACTGCCTTGAAACATTGGCGCTTTGGTGTTGGGAGCGGGTGTAAAGACATCGGTAACGGTAGGGTTAGAAATAAATGAGGCGAGGCCTCCAACTCTCCCATCATCCCTCGAAGCCGATTGCGATTGTAAGCGGTAAGCGAAGACAAGCAGGAAAGATGGCCTCCCTGTTCCTGGTTAGGATTCAAGGAGTTGGTATCCTTCCTGCCGTGTTCCTAGTGCTGGGATTTCTTCGCGCTTCAGCAGCTCTGACCCCCATTGAACCCAAGGTGAAATCATTGAGCGACTTGAAGATCGATCCTGTAGATCCGTTGGTGCCTCTTGCGAGCACTGTGCTGGTCGTTCCCGATGAAAATCTTGCCAGAGATGTTGTCTTTGTGGAAAAGGCCGTGAATCAAAGAATAGAGGGATTGGAAGACTTGCAAAGGATCAGCCGATACTGGGACCGTGACTTTGAATCGTCTCAATCAGGAGTGGCGGCAGCAATCCGCAGGGCATCCGCACTCTCCAGCGATGTTGCTGTGGTGTGCTGGAACGTGACTTGGGTCCCTCCAACAACCGAATGGCTCGCAAATCTTGGCAAGCTGTTGGAACCCAGAGTTGAGACAAAGTTCGTTGCCTACAATCATCTGGCTGGACAACCAAGCACATTTTCATGGAGAGCCGTCTTTAAGCTATTTGAAGATGTCGTGAACAAAGGTGTCTTGTGTGTGCCACTGGCCTGCATAGAGGGGACCACAACGCTTCAGTATTCCAAAAATTCCAAGGTCATCCGAATAACGGAGGACCTTGCCTACGCTGAAGATCTGCGTCGTGGTGCATTGCAAAATCGAAAATGCGCACAAGATCTTCGCTTGTTCCTGGAAGCCGGAAGGAGATTGCAGGATCGTCCAAGTGATTGGGATGACTCTGTAGCAACGAGCTTGCCTTGGTCGACAGTAGCTGGTTCTAATCCACTGGATGTGGATCCTGTAGAAGAGGGGCCGTCAGTGGCGATTGCGTTTGTCGGAATAGTATTTCTGAGCTTGCTTGTCTTTGCCAGCGCAATTGCTCCTCAGTTGATTGGGCAGTCCTTGTTCGGCCCTCCCAACTACATTGTGAGCCCAGAGGAACTTAAAAGTATCTACTAGCTAGTAAGAGAGGCATAAAGCAACTCAAAACTCAATTTCAACGAACTATTAATAGTAGGCATGGAGGTTCAGATGCGGGTTGTGGTACGGTACCTGGAAGATTCCTCCTCAGCTTCAACATGATCCATTCTTTCATCATTGAATCATCATCTTTAAGGGCAATTCCACATCTTGCCCACGACAAAGTGTAGGGCAGCCACACTTTTGCTTCGGTCGTCCGCTGGGGGGACGAAATGGTGCCTACCGGTACCCATGGGTTAAATGATGCCTTGGGCAATGAGCATTCTCCTTCATCATCAAAAGTAGTACAAAATTCATGACGAATGGACATCCACGTCCGAGGCCATTTCTGGCTGTAACTGCTTGAAAACTTAACCCTGGCCTATCTCTTTTGTGGCAGTTCCAAAACAAATGAGGTTGCAGTCTCCTTCATAATCAAAACTGTTTGAGGACTTCTCCTCTTCACCTGCATCATGTATCCTTTCTACTGGTAGTTTCTTTGATCGTTGAACCGAATCTTTGCAATTTCTTTCTCATTCGCAACAGGGTCTAATAATCTTGCGGTATTGTCGATGCTTGCTTCTGCAGCGTGCTCTGCGCTCAACGCTACGGTATCGTTATTAGTGGAGCTAGCTATCTGTCTCTAGCTAGCCAGCGACAGCCAGGTTTATGGTTTGTGCTGCATCTTCGGCGGGTACGGACTACGGACCATACCGGTAGCTACAAGAAGCCTTACCGGCACACTTCTTGAAAGAGCTCCAGTTTTGTCCAAAGGTGCAAAAGGTCTTCACTTTTCCTCGGCGGAGAGGGAACTCGTAAGCTCCAGTCGTGTAAGAACATTGGATTGATCTTCGATCTGTTCCAGCTCTCGAATTCGAATTCAAGCATCGGGCTTCGGCTCTTGCGACGCTTTGTGGCGGTCTATCGGATGAATCGAGATACATGTACATGTACACCTTTATGGCACTACCACCGAAGCTGCTCCTCGGCAAACGAAAGGCGGTTTTGCTGGTGCGATTGCTGGGCCTTTTGCCGATTGCCAGCAGCTCCGAACCGCGCACCGCTACTTACTTTGTTCGGGTGAGCACATCAACCAGGTGGGGCCAGCAAAGCACCCAGCGCAAGTCGTCGCTGGTTGCGCTGTGACATTCCTGGCGCCCCATCATAAGGTACCTGGTCTAAACGATCAGTGAAGAACGACACGCAATTGCTGCCTTGGCGCTTCTTGGCTTCTTCGATTCTTGCTTTGAATGCCAGAACGATGCCCTTGGCTGCTTCCACGCGCACCAGCAGCCGCAAAAGGTTCTTGGGTACCTTGGCCAGCAACCACTTCTTCCCTCAGCCAAACGCATTGCATCCGCTACAAAGGTACCAGTACGGTCAGCAGCGGAGAGAACCCAGCGAGGCTACTCCGAGGCTTCCTGTTTGCAAGCAGATTGTCCCCAGCCTTCATCCTGGGTTGGGCCACTACAGCAAGTTTCAATCCAGCCATTCAAGCATTCAAGCATTGCCGAATACAGGTACTGTAGCCGTTGCTCCTCTGCTTGCCTCTCCTTCCAGCAGCCTTCGCAAAAGTGCATACTAGTACCTTGCGTTTCTGGTCTAGGGCAGGTTAAGACATTTTTTATTCTTGCTTTTACGTACCGTGGTATGGTTTACTCTTGCCCTTTTTCACACCACGGCAGCAAGCTAGCCACACTGTCGCCGATGCTCTGAATTGAACCATGAAGCCTATGATCAGAAACCAGAACAGGTTAAAGCTTTGGTTTCTGTAAAAACGACCACAGGCGACTGCTGAATCTGTGGTTTCTCCCGCTACCGCCCACATTGTCATGCTGGTTTCCTCGTTCTGCCCCTTCGTCCTGTTGTGGTGGGGCTTCACACACAGTCTTCTCCAGTGAACCTTCAAAGCATCGACTTGGTTGTCCAGAAGGAGGAGTGAAATCGGGCACCCGCTAAATCACTATCGGCTGGTCAAAAAAGACTCTACTGAGTTTTTCGCGCTTAAATAGCTCGCAATCCTATGACTTTTTTGATTGAAAGTCATAAACAGTGACATGATTCTTGGGGGTGTCTGCAAGTTGGTGGTAGTTTACTAGATATCCCCAACCTCCAGAAAATATTCTAGAAAGGGATCTTCATCAGATAAATGTGGGACAATCACTACAGAAGGTGGGAGGAAAAACGTTTAATATGTTCATTCCAACCCCCTGTTAGGATGACATTACTATTTACAGTACCCCCTTTTAGTATCCCATGGACATTTCCTTCTGCATCCCCCCTAACTAAAAAAAGCCATTCCCCTCAACCCCCCCACTGGTTTGTCCTGCCTGCGACGTCCTGCGTGCGTGCGGTCACCGAAAGGCATTTACCATCGTCTTACGTGAGTTTGCTGAGTACTTTGGACAGCAGCAGCAGCGGCAAACAACAACACAACAAAGTGTCGCGAGGTTGGACCATTCCATCGATAGAGTTTTCTTGACTTCCGAATCTGTTGAAACGGTCTCTTCCCCCTATTGCTTCTTTTGGTCCGGTGCTGGCAACAACGAAAACATGAATAGCGGAACAATGCAGCTATCGCAGCAGTTTTTTGCTGGCATGCAGGGTGGCGGATCCGGTATGGGCCCCCCTGCCGGTTCCGCTGGAGGAGATAATAGTAATGCTGGAGGTGCTAATAATAACGACGATGTCTCCAACGCAGGACAAACTGGAGGTGATGCCAACCGTAAGTTAATCAGTCATATCATGGCGCTCTTTGTGGGTATACAATGGTTCCTTGTTGGTTGGTCTCCATTCCATATTGGTCATTCGGTGCAGCATGGCTCGCCATGTTATTAATACCGCAGCATGGGTCCGCGCTTCGTCCTGGGAAGCTAGGAGGTTGGCAGACAAAACAAATAATGTTGAATGGGGGTGTTCTGAAAATGTGAGACGCCGCTAGTCAAGCTGTGTCTCAACTTGTTTCTATTGCTCCTTTTCTTTCCTTGCGAACTCATGCAGAGGGCGGAGCTGGAGTCCTTCTGCAGCGGATGCAGCAAATGCAACGACAAAGTCTGTCCGGGCTTTCCACCTCCTCTGGTATCCCTACAAGAGGCCTGAACTTGGATGGCTTGAATATGGCCCAGTTGGGACAAGGAGGAAATTTTTCTGGAGGACAAACTGGAAATCTTGGTGGCAATCTAAATTTTGGAGCTGGAGGCCTGGGAGGCGGTGCCGGCGCCCCTGGTACAGGTGGCCTAGGAGGCGGAGGGCTTGGCTCTGGAGCTGGTGGATTTCAGAATTTGCAAGGCTTGGGATCACTGGAGGGCGTCAACCTTGCTAATTTGTCAGGAAACCTATCCAGTCTGTCTGGGGCTGGTGGTTTTGGAGCTGGCCTAGGCGGTAATGCTGGATTGCAGAACCAAGGCCTGGGTGCTCTAGGTGGCGGACAAAATTCGAACCTATCTGGTCTCTCGGGCCATGGAGGATTAGGAGGTGGTGGAGCCGGAGGAGGGGCTGGTGGAGCAGGAGGTGGAGCTGATGGTCTTGGCGGTGGTGGAGCAGGACTTGGCTCTGGTTCTGGTGGTCTACAGAATAACCAAGGTTATGGGTCCCTCGAAGGAGTCAACCTAGGAAACCTGTCAGGGAATCTGTCGGGTCTTTCTGGGGCTGGAGGATTGGGAAGTCTAGGTGGTAACGCTGGATTGGGAGCTGGCCTAGGTGGCAATGCAGGATTGGGAGGTGGTTTTGGAGGCAATGCAGGAGGACTACAAAACCAGGGCCTAGGAGCCCTTGGTGGCGGAAACAACTCAAACTTATCAGGTCTCTCAGGTGCAGGAGGTTTAGGAGGAGGCGGTGGACTTGGTGGGGCTGGTGGCCTGCAGAATAATCAGGGCCTTGGTGCCCTAGGTGGTGGACAAAACTCAAACCTGTCCGGCCTCTCTGGTGCTGGTGGTTGGGATCTCTCTGGGCTCTCTGGTGCAGGGGGTTTGGGAGGAGGCGGTGGACTTGGAGGTGCAGGTGGCCTACAAAACAATCAGGGCCTTGGTGCATTTGGTGGTGGACAAAACGCAAATCTATCAGGCCTTGGTGCTGCAGCATTGGGCGGAAGCGGAGGACTTGGAGGACTGCAAAACAACCAAGGCCTAGGAGCGCTGGGAGGAGGCCAAAATTCGAATTTGTCTGGTCTGTCAGGGGCTGGTGCTTTTGGTGGAGCAGGCGGTCTACAGAATCAAGGCCTTGGCGGGCTGGAAGGCATGGCAAATCTCAGTGGACTCAATTCTGGTCTCAACGCAAATTTGGGTGGAAACTTCGGGGGCAACCTTGGAGGCAATCTTGGCGGCGGGCTTGGACAGAACTTGGGCTCAGCGCTTGGTGGAGGCGGCGGGCTCGGCGGAGGCCTTGGAGCGGCATCTGGTCTTCAGAATCAGCGTCTCGGAGGGCTCGAAGGCATGGCAAATCTGTCTGGTGCTGGTGGAGGCAATCTCAGCGCATCCATGATGGCAAACTTGTCAGGTGCACCAGGTGCTGGTGGCGCTGGGAACCTCCTCGATATGCAGCGTGCGGAAAACATTCTTGCAGCCGCTATTGCCGCTGCCAACAAAAACCCCAACGACAATTCTAATGCAAATGCTCCGAACGGAGCCCCAGGACCCAATGGACTGAATCCGCAAGCGCTAGGACTGAATCAACAGTCGCTGGATCTCATGCGAAGAGCGAGCTTAGGCCCCGGCGGAGCCGGGCTCGGTGGCTTTGGGGGCGCAAATTTAGGTATGGGTGGTTTGCAAGGTGGAGGCTCTCAAAATGCGCAAGGCATGATGGGAGCCCCTTCCCCGGGAGGAATGCAAGGCGGTTTCAACGCGAACAATCTCAACCTCAACAGTTTAGGAGGTGGCCAACCCGCACCATCGCCGATGGGGGGTGGTGCGTCTGCATTAGAGTCTGCACTTGCCAATATGAACCAAAACAACCCAGGACAATTTAATCCCTTCCAGAATTTGACCCCCGAGCAGCAAGCGCTGATTGCAAAGAACCCCGCATTTTCGTCTCTCGCTCAACAGGCAGCTGGTGGGAACCTTGATAACTCGATCCACAACAACAATAACAACAACAACGGTGCAAACTCTGCACCGGGCCCCGCTGCCCCTGCCAATTCAATGGGCGCGCCCGCAGGGGCTCCCGGGTCTGATCTCCAAGGTCTCCTGAACCAAAGCGGTGCGATGGGCAACCTCGGCGGCCCTGGTGGACTAGGTGCTGGTGCCTTTGGTGCGGCTGGTCTGGGAGGATCCTTGAGCGCAGCCGGACTTGCTGGATTGGGAGGAGGCCAGCTTGGAAACGCTGGGTTGCAAAACCTGCAGAACCAAGGACTCGGAGCCCTTGGTGGTGGTGGTGGTGGTGGCCAAAACCACCACCAAAACATGAATCTCTCGGGCGCTGGAGGCTTGGGTGCAGGCGGCCATGGGGGTGGTGCAGGCGGCGGCGGTGGTGGCATTGGAGATGCTGGTGGTCTACAGAACCTACAGAACAATCAAGGTTTAGGTGCACTTGGTGGTGGCCAAAATGGAATCCTGTCAGGCCTCTCTGGCGCAGGTGGTTTGGGTGGAGGAGGTGGACTCGGCGGTGCTGGTGGGCTACAGAACAATCAAGGACTTGGAGCGCTTGCCAATGGGCTCAACCTAGGAAATCTGGGAAACCTCAACTTTGGTGCTGGGGGGAATCTAAACCTGGGAGCCGGAGGCAATATCAACAATCTCGGTGATCTTCAAGCTCAGCAACAACAACTGCAGCAACAATTACAGCAGCAACAACAACTGCAACTGCTCCAGCAGCAACAACAGCCAGGGCAACAACAACCACAACAGGATGAGCCACCAAAACGCCGCAGCTCATCCTTGTCGTCGACTGGTTCGTTGACGCAGTTCTCTCGCCGCCGAAGCTCATTGGGTATGTTTGGAGCACCCGGAGGTGGTGCAAATAACAACGATTTCCAGAAGCTCTTTTCGAACATGCCCAATGATGAAGACGAAAGCGGAGCCACAGGATCAGTAGCAGAGAAGGGCAAGAAAGCCAAGGCCAAAGGAAAGGCCAAGAAAACGGGCAAAGGTGACAACTCGGGTAGTGACCAGAGTGGCGCTGCTGCCAAGCTGGCTCAAATGAAGAAAGACAAGAAGAAACGGGCGAAAACTTTCCCCGAGAAACTAATGGAAGCTCTGATGGAACACTCCGACGAAGAAGCCGTGGCTTGGTTGCCTGATGGAAAATCCTTTGTCATTGTCAATCCTGACATGTTCTGTGAGGACGTACTCAGCAACGTGTTCAAAGTCAGCAAATATGCTTCCTTTGTGCGCAAACTGCACCGTTGGGGTTTTGTCAGACTCACAAGCGGTACAGGTACGACGGCTACCCAGTTCGGGCTCGGCACCGGTACCGGTACTGTTGCACCCCTGACGCATGTTCTCACGTTGAATTATTGATCTCTGCTGCTTTGTTACTGTACTTACTTTGTAAAGGCACTGACTGCTTCCATCATCCACTCTTCCAACGAGCCAAGAAAGACTTGGCCTCAAAAATTATTTGTACTCCACGTGCTGATCTTCCACCCGGTGCGAACGGCGTTCCTGGCATGGGCGCAGTTGGCGGAAAAGACCAAGCGAAACTAATCGGCATGGGCGCATCAGATAGCAAGCCACCGAGTTTGGCTGGAGTCGAGAAGTTCATCCGAGCCAAAGTCGCCGCAGAACAGGCAAAGAACAAAGGCAAACCAGGTATGGGTAGCCCGGGAGGTTTGTCCTCCGGTCTTCCAGCAATGGACGGCAAGACTGACGAAGACGGAGATGATACTTCAGGAGACGACATGGACGGCGTTGTTTCCTAAGCAATGCTCTATTAATTCAAAAAGTGCATTTTGAATACCGTATGATAATCCTGTATTCCACTAATACTTCACACCAAAAGGAAGAAATATACAAACTTGGTTATTAGTGCCACAGTAACTGTTAATACACTACCGTAGCTAGGCGAGATAATTGTACCGATTTCGGTCCTTGGCATCGCGCTCCATGTATTCTCTCTCGATCAGGGACTCGATGCGCTTCTTAACATCATTTGGTTGGGCCGGCACCTTGACCTGTTCCAACACTTGAGGAATCAACTGCTGGTGGAGAATGGTCTTGCGGGCCTTCATAATACGGACGAGAGAAGCATCAATCATGTAGAGACGATCTCGTGAAACTGCCTCCACCGTCTTGACTCGCTCTTCCTTCGTTTCCTTCCACATAATGTTGGTGATACGGATTCGTCGCTGATTAGAGTCGAAATTCATGTTGACGGTGAACTTGTCACGGTCGTCGACTTGAGATCGGACTTTCTTCTTCTTGTTCGGTTCGGCATCGTAGTCCAGCTTGCGCAACACCCGAGTTCCATCCTTGCCAAGTGCCAGACTCTGCAAGATTCGCTCCACCTCATCTCTTTCATCCAAACCAATGGCATTCTTCAGGTAGGGCAAATCCAATTTTTGGTCCGTCGATTGGAACTGAATCAAGACCAGGGCCTGGCAAAGACTCATGACCAACTCGTAGACCTTGTTCTTGTTCTTCCCCAGTCCATTGGCCCGAACGATACAATGTCCCAAGGCATACTGCCATGTCATTCGTCGCCCTTGGTACTTGGTCTTGTAATGATTAGTGAATCGCTCTTGGGGCTCCTTGAGACTCTGGGGGAGAATGAGATGCGGGTACTGCGGGTACACGGGCCAATAACCAGTCGTCAAGACTTGTGCCTCCATTTCCACTCCGCCAGTGGTAATACCCGCACCGCCCCCGCCACCCATGGGCAATGTTTGCTTGTATCGACTCATGGCTTCACGACTCCAATCCACATCCTGAAACATTCCCTCCATTTTGGATGTGTACCCAGCGCCACACTCGGCCTTGAGCAAACTGACAAACTGTTTCTCGACGTCCATGGACACGACGCGATTCCATAGCAACCGCTTGGCCAAATCTCGTTTGTAGAATGCTTCAAATATATCTTTGGCTTGCAAATGAACGAAAATTCCGGAAATAATGCGCGAGAGCAAATCGCTGCTGGAATTGTTGGCACTTGCCAATCCCATGGTGGGTGACGCCGACGACGATGATTGCTGCAAGGCATACTGATCCATTTTCTTGTTATTTTTGAGAATTTGATCGACAAACTTTGCCAGCGATTCGGCAATGGTGGGTGTGGTGTTGGGCAAGTTGACGATTTCTTCCCATACCGGTTTGAGTGCAATGTGATCTGTCCCGCGCGGCAATTTCTGTACCAACCGACTGAGTTGTTGTTGCAATTCGAGCAAATCGGCAATCATGGTGTGGTGATTGGCGTTGGATGCCGATTTCTTTTGTGGCGTGGCGGTGGATGGTTGACTTTGTTGTACGAGTGCGACTCCCTTGGTCCGGGCATATTCGGCAATGCAAGTAGCGACTTGCTTGTATCCATTGGGTAATCGTCCGGCTAGCATCCACAATTTGACCATGGCAGACTGATTATACGACGACCCAGTGGAAGCCGCAGCAGCAGGAGTGGATGACTTGTGCGGACTGGTGGGTCCTCCCGGTTGATGCAGCAATTCTTGTTCCAGTAGCGGATAAAAATTCTGCGATGCCAACAACCAGTCGGCATGCAAGTGTGGCAAGAGGAGGTGTACTTCGAGGAGTGTACAAAGCCACGTCTTGGGGAGAAATGTCCATTGATACGACATGTGCATCCATTTTTCGTAGACATATGCCACAAAGCTTGCCGCCGCATACCCGCCCGATCCCTCCATGGCTTGTTGTGATTCTCGCTGCAAGAATACTTCTAGATCTGGCTGCAATCGGGTCATGATGAGCGGCAGCAAGTGCAAGTCTTGCCACATGTGCCAAGTAGCTTGCAACAGCGAGCGCTGGGCGTAATGTCCGGCCCAATCGGCCTCCAACATTTGGAACCAATCTTCGTAGACTCGGTCATCTAGTTTCAATTCGGTCAATCGATCCCGGAATTGACACAGACCGACTTCCCATAGCGTGTAATGAGTATGACTGGTGGCCATGGTTCTCTTGACGACCATTTGTCCGTCTTCTTGCCAGAGATGAGTACGGTCCAATGGTAAAAAGACGTGCTTGCACAGCAACAAGTAGTCGACAAACAGTTGGTACTGTGTTTGCACAAACTCCAAAATGGTGGCTTCATTTTTGGCATCGTCTGGTAGGACTTGTCGGGCTGCTTTTTGCATGGCATCTCGGAGATCCTGATAGAGGCGGGGACCGAATTGATGGGTGACCAGATTGACGACGGCATTGTAGGAATTCTGGAGACTCAAATTGCTCGATTGATCTTTGGGCTGGTCTTGTGCTCTTCCTCGTTCCAGGACATTCAGAGTCCCCTGCAACAGTTCGGAGGATGTCTGCTCATAGAAATTTGGAGGCAACGTGGGCGGCTTGTTGAACGGCTTGATCTTCACCTTGCGAAGGCTGTTAGACCCTCCCTTCAACGCCTTGTTGCGGGGCATGGTGGACTACAATAAGATAACTCGAGTTCAAAGAAAAAGCACACTAAAAGCAAGCTCTCAATTGGTTGTGGTTGATGATGAATGGGCTCCACTTTTTTCAGTCTCAAGAGTCTTCTACCGCGACACTTACCGTACGTCTGGTTGGTTTGGCAACTAACAAATTATACGTTTTGACTGGAAATTTGTTCGAAATAGTTTAAAACTAAAGTTTGAAATTAGGAAGGTTGAAAAATTTCACTGTGGGACTCCTGTGGGCCTATAAAGCTACCCACCTACCAATATGGTGGTTCCAGACACCCAATTTTAATAAAAAACACCAAGATAATAGCCAGTTCTGAGTTCTCCAAAAAGAGTAGATATCATTCCATCCAAGCAAAAATTTTCGTAAAAGGTTGAGTTTTGGCTGAGATACGGGCATCTAGCTAGATATGGTGACTTGGGAGAGCAAAATGAGGCGATCCATGGTGCGGCCTATACTGGTACCTTTAGACGACCAGGGAAGGTCCAAATAATAAATAGCTTTTCGTGCGGCGCTACGAGGTAGCTAGCTAGCTAAAAGATAGTACCACTGCCCCAAGAAGAGCGATTTTTGAAAAATTCATTTTTAATTCGGAAAAATGCTCCCCCAGTTTTCCTGCAAAACCCAACCAGCATCACGGTACCGGTACGTGTAGTCTAGCTAGCTAGCTAGTTGTGATCGTGCTCAACTGTACAGCCGTAGAGAGTGTCTGCCATCACTGGATCACCTTCTCGACCGTCGCAGCACGGGGGAATGACTTTTGCGACGGCCAGTCGCCATGGTCCCAATTAGCCCTTTCCCTAATGTAGCCTTTTGTTTTTCTTTCGCTCTCACGAAGCCACAACAATTCAATTGTCACTCTCCAAGCCAGTCTATTGGAGCTGCCCATCATCCCTCTCTAGTAGAGTAGACTAGCTACTCTACCAAGCTAAGAAAACAAAACCATGCCCGCATCCGTAGAGAGTACCACTCGGTTTTTCTATTCGACCATGCTGCCTGCCATTGGGTTGATCCCGATTTGGTTTGCGCATGGACGATTTTGGTTGATGGGAGAAAACGACTGGGTCAACACGGACGATCAACTTGCAAGTAGAGGCATGCCGGGGATTCTCGTGTTTCATGCACTCTTGTGGTGGTGGGAAAGTCCCCGAAAGGATCGACCCGTCCCGGAAGTCGCCATGGGGTTGTGGGGGGTGTATATCTTGCATCTGCTGTTTCAAGTCTTTTATGTCAATCCTGCCAATAGTACTGAAGATGATGCTGCCAAAGAAGAAGCTTGGTCGGTGGCCACCAAGTACTTTCCATCGACCATTACAACTACAATCTCCAGTCGAATCTCCTTGGGAATGGCAGTGGATGTATGGTTGATCATGGGCGCCACTTTGTTTGTCAGTTATTGGAGTCCCGACGAGGGACATTTACTGGCCAACACCACATTGTTGATTCGACAACGCATGACGCAATCCATAAAACCAGCCATGGTAGGGACTCCGCTCTGGTTCATTCTAGGTCACTTGACGCTCGGGAGTGGCTGTCAGGGGTGGGATTCAACAATCACTGCCCTCTTCTTGCAAGCACTCGTCACGGTCCTGCCATTTCACATTCTCCTTTGGCAGCGAGAAAAAGAACGAACCAATCAGGAACAACCCTTTCCAGGGCACATGGCAGTGGCATTGCTCGTCTACTATGCCCTGCAAATTATTTGTCAGTTTTTTATTCATGACAAAAACATTGTGGAGTACTACCTTCACATGCCACCAAAACTTGTTGCCAGCGCGGCTTGGACCATCAAAACGCTTATTTTGGTCAACATGGCCATCATTCTACGCATGAGCTACGATCGAGACCAAGAAGAAGAAGATGCTACGGCAGTAGGAACAAATGTCCTGAATGGAAATAATGCTACTGGGGCCGCCGGTACACCAGACAGCAATACACCTTCCCAGCCTGTTGCCTCGGCTCCCACGGGAAATAATGACGCAAACAGTGCTGTGGAGCCCACAACCGAAGAACAATTGCGACAACCTCTGTTGGAGGCGGACCGCGATGCAGCAGAAACAGCCGCAGCAGAAGTCCCAACAGCAACGGAAGAAGTGTAGGCTTTCCTACAGTACAGCCACCAGTGCTTTCCGGACTGTTCCAAGAACTGGCCAGCTACCTACCAATCATGCCAAAGAATCAGGGACAGATTAGTGTCCTGGAATTTTGCCTAGAAGGTTCGGCAGCAGGTACCAGGCAGGGGCAAGCGTAGAGAGAAGAAGACGGGAGAGATGGAAATCCACAGTGGCTAGAGCGAGAAGAGGTGCATTGCTAACGAACCGATACTACCGGTACGGCAACCAAACTGGTCCTTCATCTCACTTCCACCGTCCGTGTGGGTGATATGGTACGGTAGGTTTCAGTACGATAGGCAAAACTAGAACAAGAACGCTTGTGGTAGCGCATAGCAAAGAAGAAAGGAACTTCTCCTTTTCAACAGTACTGTCATAGTTTGTTTTGTTGCAGGCCCAAACAAAGGAACACCAGTCGCGTCGCTACTACCGGTACTGTACCGTACGTAGCCTAGCACCATCCAGCTGCAAAACAGCACTGTCGTTTCTGGGAGAAAGTCTGTGCAAGGATTCGATTTGCAGACTCTCACAGAGAAAGACGACTGAGGATCTGCCTCCTTTGGTGCAGTCGAAGTCAGGGATCAACAACGCTCGACCGGGTCATACTGTTGACTGTTTGAGTAGTTAGCTGGAAAATCCTCTTCAGCGATGTTTGATAACATCAGATCATACAAAGCGCTTATATCCGCTGTTATGTCTCCTTCGACCTCGTCATCGCCTCCGAGTGATATGATGACTTTGCTGCCTTTCGGCGGTGCTCGAGTTCTAACGGCGTTTTCAAAGCGTTTATCGTTTATGCGGAATGGCGCGGGAGTCGCGTCAAAAAGTGTAAAAGATACAAACCAAGTCCAACGCACCGAACATGCTTTTTTTCAGTTGTGACGAAGCCATTTAGATCTTTTGGCGACGCAACCTGAATGCATGCCTTCATGGAAGGAGACAACTATTCAAGCCGGTGGCCAAATCCACAAGGATATCTAGACCAGTCTCATTTAATTTTGCGGCCGCGAAGGAACAAAAACGGCGTCGAGGGAACCACCACCAATAAAGCAACATCTGAGGATTTCTCTTCTTCCAACCTTCCCCTTCCAGAGGGTGAAGCAGAGCAGCTTGGCAACGAGAATACTTCTTGATTTTCTTGTGTTGTTGAGCTTGATATCATGAACGGTATCGAAATCACAGTTGACCATGACTCGCTGGCGTTGAAAACGGAGGTCATGACCCTGCGGGATGCACTCCATGCCTGTCGCAGTTCGCACGACGAATTGGAGCCAACAGATGACTCCAGCGGTCAGAGTAGCGTTAGTCAGGTCCGGGACAACAAGAGTTCACCCACTCAGGTGAAGGAAGCCGTTTATCAAGATGGCGCGACTCCTTTGTTCAAGGCTATCGAGGAAGTCAACTGGAGGGAGGCGTTGCGTATCACGGAAGAGTCACCCAGCCAGGCGTTTACTTGGGTCAAGTCCACAGGAACTCAAAACACAACCTTCGATTGGTCTTTGTGGAGGCGCCTTCCGTTGCATGAGGTCAGTTCGTTCTTTGTTTGACACCCCTCGTATTTTTTGGATACACTCTCCTGTCGCTGTCAGCTGGCTGACCACTATTGCTATCGTGTTTTGAACGTTTAGGCTTGTCGCCGTCAAGCACCTGCTTGGTTGGTCTCGGCTCTTCTCTCTGTGTATCCGGAGGCAGCAAAGTGCGCTACCCAGTTCGGGGAGCTGCCGCTGCACTTGGCTGTCGGATCGGGTGCCGCCCCGGAGGTCGTCAACTTGATTGTTGTGGCCCACTGGGAAGGCATCGCTTGTCGAGATAAGAGCGGCCGTACTCCCATTGAGATCTGGGATGAATGCGAGCTGCTCGTCGACGAGGACCACCGTGTTGTCTTTGAAAGCTTGACAAGATGTCACAATACGTATACTCGCCTGCAGGAAGATTGGCAAAACAAGTTTATTGCCCTGAAGAAGCAGCATGAAGCGGCTCTCTTTGGCCTGAACTTGCGCCATGATGACGAAATGAAAAAAGAAAATGAAAAGAAGGCAGAACTAGAGCAAGAGCTAAACAAGCTCCATCAAAGCGTAGAAATGCTCACTGCTGAAAACATCGAACACGAGGAGAAAGTCTCCAGTTTTGCAAAGGTCGAAAGGACTTGGTTGGAACGAGTGGATTCGCTGACCAAGGCCGTGGAGCAGCTCCAAGTGGAGAAAGCGGAAGAGCAAGAAAATGTCGAGGCTCTCCACCAGTTGGTCGAAGACAAGGACATCGAAGTAAAGGCTTTGTCTGCTAAAACCCGTAAGCTGACCAAGGACGTACAGCAAGTAATGGCCTGGTACAATCAAACGGAGGAGGGTCTCTCCAGAACGCAGGAGAGCCTGCAACAGATGGTCGACAACTACGTCGAGGTTCATGGGAAACTTTCTCGAGAAAAAGAGGCTTTGCAGAGGATGCTGGCCAAGCGAGGAATTGATCTCCCAGCAACACAAAAGAAAAAGTTTTCACCGCGAGCGCTCTCACCAATTCCAAGCGACTTTGGAAGTGACGTGTCGTCCATCATGGACGATGCGGCCCATGCTGTTGCAGCTGCTGCGAGTGCTGCTCTCACTGGACACTTGATTGATGGACCGGATTGAATGTGAGCATTGAATGTCAACATGCAACGAACTTATTGATACATATTGCGAGGTGCTGTAGGCCTGATTTCTACATGATATTTATGTATCTGTACAACATAAGAATAAGTAAAGCGAGGATTAGAGATACTACTCTTGAGCCCAACCAATGTCGATGCCAACAATGCACTTAACTCTTCTATTGAGGGACCAATCTCTTCCTTTAGAAGTCATTGTTGCAGTACTAAGTTGACATTACACAGCTCAAGTCCAGGTGAAGCTACCGCATGCCACAGAATCCTTTTAAAAAGTCACATTTCTAACGCGTTAATCTCTCTCGATAAAATTATGCACCAGATCTTCTGTTAATTGCACAAGGTCGCCACGAAGTTACTGTACGACGGCACTAGTTCTTGCCCTTCTTTCCTCCAGGGCTCTTTTTTCTCAGTCCAAAAATATTCTTGCCCTGAGGTGGTCCAGGTTGTGATTTCTTTGCATTGGTGGGGCCAGGTTCTCGCCGTCCACCGCCTCCACTGCTATTTCCAGTGCTCGAAGGTGGACCTGAAGCTGCTGCTTCCAGGCTTAACAGCTTTTCGGCCATCTTTTCAAGAATGTCGTATGGATCCTTGTTCTTGTGAATATCGTGTTTGATACTGGCTCCAATGTCTCCAACTCGTGCCAGTGTAATTTCCAAGTGATCCACGCGGTCAGTCAACTTGGCAATCTTTTGTTCCATTATCCCATTCTCTCCCGAATCCACCTTGATCTTGTCCTGTTCCTTCTTGAACTTCTCCAGAACATTCACAATGGGGTCCATCTTGGGATTCTCTAGGGCTCGTGCTTCTGCCAATGGTGTGTACCCAAATCCGTTCTTAACGTTGATACTCTCTGGGTAGGTCGTTAGCAGCAGGTTGACTACACTTGGCGTGGCACCGTTTTGACAAGCGTAGTGAATGGGGAGTTTGTCTTGATCATCCTTGATTTGGGCAGCCCTGGGGTAGACACGCAAAAGCGTTCTGATAATACGTTCCGATGCATTCTTTCGGCAAGCATGGTGCAGAGGAAGACGTCCTTGATCATCCTTTGACTGAGCTCCCTTTGGAGATGCTTTCAATAGAGCATCAATGACACCCTCAGAAGCTCCCTTTGAACAAGCGTGGTGAAGCGGCAAACGTCCTTCGTCGTCTTTGCTCATGGCGCCCTTGGGGAACGCGCCGACCAAGACATCCACCACACCTTGCGAAGCTCCCTTCAAACAGGCGTAATGCAACGGCAAGCGGCCATCTTCATCCTTTGATTGGGCGCCCTTGGGGTTGGCAATGAGAATGGCGTTGATGACAGTTTCAGTGGCACCGTAGAAACAAGCACAGTGGATGGGCAACCAGCCGTCTTGATCGGCGCACCTGGCTCCTTCTGGATAGGCATGCAATAATGTCTCAATCAGTGTCACGGGTGGTTGCAAGACACATGCTTTGTGCAGAGGGAGAAAGCGCAGGTTTCCATTGAATCCCTTGGTGACAATCCAGGTGGATGCTTCATCGGGAAAGGTGTTGGCACGGTTGGACCCTGCCTTCCAGTCCTTTTTCAAGATGAGGCGGAATAGAACAGTCCTGTGTTCATAGTCGACTTCGTTTGTGTGAGCTTTGGGGTTGAGACCCACGGTCATTCCGGTGAGTTCGCTCTTTGCGTGATGAATCCCGTGGGAAGCCAAATTTCCATTTTCATAGTCCGTTTGGAATCGTCGAATGGCTGATAGAACGGCTTCCTTGTTGGCTGAGGAACTGGAGAGGACGAGATCAATGGGAAGCCTCCCTTTACGATCACGAACCTTGATGGAATCCGGGAAGGAGTTGAGCAAGGTCAGGACAACGCCCTTGGAGGCTCCATTACGGCATGCCAAATGTACCGGCAACATTCCTTGATCGTCCTTCATCTGCGGACCATCTTTGTAAGTGTCAATCAAGGCTTCAATGAGCGCCAGAGGCGACCTAAAGATGCATGTTGCGTGAAGAGGCAGCAATCGCCATCGGACTTTTTCGGTAGTGGGTTCCTTACGCGACACCCAAGTCTTTGCTTCCGCGGGTGCCATTTCAATTCTCGTCAAAGCGCCATCCCAGTCTTTTCCTTCGATACGCTGGTACAACTCGGTGGCTCCATCATCGTAATCGACTTCAGGCTCGTCATGGTATCGAGACACGGTGGCCATACTGCCAGTCGATCGCACCACACTGTATGCATCGCCAATACCAGAATGGGCACGCTGGATCGTTGCTGGCTCTGTCACCGGCTTGGGAGAGCTACAAAAGATCCCTGTCGCCATGGTTGCCGTCTTGTTGTTGCGTCGCTTTGCTTGTTTTGTTTGTTGCCACCTGACCTCGTCTCTTCTTGCTTGCTTGATTTGGTCTTGTCTTTGGCTTTGATTATCGCGAAAACAGTGCTGGCACAGATGTTTGATTGCACCTTGGCGGCGCAGAGTGTGGAAAGATGGAGGGAAAAGAGAGAGCTGTTGGCGAATTGTGTGTCGTTCTGCGATCGGTTTGTCTAAGTGTGGAAGCAAAATTAGAAGGCATTGGACCGTGATCGTCTGGCGACAAGTCTCCGAAAGACAAGCTCACATTTTAGAAAAAGCCACCGTCACGCTAAACCCGATTGACGACCGTTACCGGAACACTACCGCTACATGTATTACTAGACTAGCTAGACCGCTCTAGCTAGTAGACCTACCGGTAGTAGTTCAGCTCACTTCGGCACTTCGTCCCCAGTTCTACTGTACTACCTGGTGCCGGTAGCTAGCTAGCTAGCCAGCAGATAGCCAGCAAGCACCAGGCCTTGGCCACTATGCATAACCAAGGCTACACCTGCACTTTACACCAGGCTCACCTCATTGCCTTACCAGCACCGGGGCGCTGCTTTACTCTTCCTGGACCATCTCCAGGACACCTTTCTACCTAGTCTCGTTGAACTGGAAGCCAAAGTTGATCAACTAAGACTAAGTATCTACATGTACAAAGTCCGCATATGAATGATTGCATTCTATGTGTGACTACATCCAAAAAGGATCTGACAGCTGCTTCACGACTGGAACATCGAGCACAAGCAGCCACAAACGCACCATTATGGCATTGGCGGCTCCTCAAATTCGGTGATTGAGAGCTGAAACGTTCCAACCAACGATCCCCAGCCATGCACCCTGATGTAGTAAATTTGCCCTTGGACAGTTGGAAATGACGCTGTACTGGCAAGACCGCAACTCTCCCGGTCTCGACTTGTGTCGTCGTTTCCAGTGACACACTCTGGCAGCTGACAGCTTCCAGTGTAAATGGAGAGTCTAGTGTCAAAGGTTGTTTGGTCACTACAAGTGGTCACGGTAATATGCTGGGTAAGGCAAAACAGACACAGACAACGGAGTGAGTGGAGAACGACTTGAAAAACGCCGGACCATTCAAGCCTCGTGCAGCATGAAACGTACCTTTCCAGTTCCAGTTGTGCGGTACCAGACGCCTGGTGAGGTATTTGGAACAATGCATTCCTCGACAGTATCATAGGAAGCCTCTGCGGTCGACCCGATCACGTAATTGGTCGCCCCACCATAGGCAATGGCCAACGGCGCGGCAACGTCACAAAAGTCATTCGGAACTTGCGGGAAAATCTCTTCAATCACCAAGCCAAAACTGCCCATGCTATCGAATGCTCCATGGACCAACACAAAGAATTCCTCTCCTTCGTCTACGTAGAAATTGACGGAACTCTGAAGTCCACAGCGGTCGTTGTTGGCTCCGATGCACTCCAAGGCGCGGCATCCGCCTCGGAACACAGAGATTTGTGTATCAAAGTCAGTCACAACACCCGGTGTGAGTGTGCTGGGGGAGATGTGGCTGGAATCTCGGTCATCCAGCACTTCGTTGCATGTGGAAGCAGCTAGTCTGCTGCCAGTTCCAACGGATCGATACCAAACACCCTGCCCATTCGCGTCCACGTCTCCACAGGTGGGTACATTATCCACCGTAGCATCAACAGTGACACCAGTTGCTGCCAGTGTTGTTGTGGCGTTGCCAATAGACACGTCCACCGGAGTTGACGTGATGCAGAAATCATTGGGCACAACCGGCACAACTTCCTCGATTGTCAGCCCAAAGGTTCCAACCAAAGCTCCCCAGCCGTGGACCAAAATCTTATACTCCTCCTCTGGGTTCGACAACCAGGAAACACGGCTAGCAGCCGACGAGCCACACTCGACAGATTGGTGGCTGTCGTCGTTTCCAGCGACGCACTCCAGTTGTTCACAATCGCTCCCTCTGAAAACGGAGATACGTGTGTCGAAGTCTGTCAGCATGTGACAAGTGCTGGCAACCATTCCGGTCCCAGATCCTTGCACTGTGTACCAAATGCCAGGGGCGGTGTTGGTTACAACACACGTCTCCACACCATCAAATGTTGCATTCTTGGTGGAACCAAGATTGACTGCGAGAAGCAGAGAAATGAATAAGCATTTGCTGCAGAGCACAACGAGAGCAATCGTTTCATGCAGAATCTTACCTGTAGTTGTTGAGGCCGCAATGGCGTTGGCGCAAAAATCGTTGATTGTGTTTGTCCGATAATCTTCAATGCGCAGCAAGAAGTCTCCAAAACTAGAAAAGAGATTGCCGGTAACAAGAATGTAATAGGTTTCACCTTCGTTTGCATGCCAGTATGCGGAGCTTTGGAAACCACAGCCGTTATCATCGCTGAGCAAGCACTTCAGCTGTTGACAATCTTCTCCAATGTAAATCGACAACCGCGTATCAAAGGTTGTCTCTGGACCGCACGTAGAAGCTCGCATTCCTGCCCCAGTCCCAACCACCTTATACCACACACCGGGGGATTGGTTGCTTGAGACTCCAGTTCTGTCGCAGGAATCTACATAATCATCGGCACTTGCAGTTGTAGTCGAACCTGCAGTTACGGAGCCATGTTGCAGCATGATTGCATCGGTGCAAAGGTCATTGACGCTGGCCTTGAACTCGTAGACAGCCAGACCGAAATCGCCCATGCTGGGCGATGTTCCACCTGTTGAACCATGGACCAGAATGTAGTACATGGTATCCGCTACCGATTCCCAATCCACGGAACTCTGATACCCACACCACTGATCGTTGGCAATGACACATCGTAGATTCCCACAACTGCCTTCAAAGACACTGATCTTGGTATCATACTTGGTTTTATCATGGCAGAGCGACGCAGTCAATCGAGTCCCAGTACCAACTACTCGATACCACACGCCTGGATGAGTGTGCATAACATCAGTGTTCACGCCGACGTCATTGTTCATGCATGTCGGTGCTAGTTGGTCTTCTGTGTAGGTCGCTCGCAGCGTGGACCCAAACGTAACATAACCATCCGGGTACAACCGTGCGGCTCCCGTACAATTATCATTGACTGGCGGATCCAAATCCTCGACGGTCAATCCAAACTGGATCCCAGGTAGGAAATTGGTCTTGTAAACCATAATGTAGTACTCGACACCGCGCTGCGACCACCAGTTGAGAGAATATCCAAAGCCACAATCCCGATCCACCGAGGGGGCCACTTCGCTTGCCTTGGCCACTCCACAGTCCAGCTGGTCACAGTTCCCTTGGTACAATGCAAGACGAGCTGAGAACTCATTGACCGAGGAACTCGAACATGTGGATGCCATCAACCATCGTCCCGTGCCCATTACTTTGTACCAGATTTCTCCACCTCGCCCAAGCCATTCCCCAGGGACGCAAGGATCCAAACCGAATGCGGCTCCCAGCAGCGATCCGACAATCAAGGGCGATGATCGAATCACGCCTTTCTGTTGTTCCGGGTCCAGGATTTCGAGAGAAATGGTTTCGGCTTCCCCTTTGTAATCAATGGCGGCATCGCAGGTTCCAGTGGGCGCCAATGACAATGTCAACATGAATGAGCCGGTGGGATAGATCAGTGGTTCGTCTGCCCCGCGGTTCACGAGTGCAGGCGTGTCTTCTTCCAATGCTTCTTCAATGACAGCTGCTGCTGCAGCCGCCTCGAGTGTGCCGGCCGTGATGGGTTTGCCACTGACATAAATATAGTAGATTCTGTCTTTTTCGGCATACCACGAGACGAGACTCTGTGGCGCACAAGAAGCATCATCATTGTGCGTGACACACGTCAATCCATCCGCACAGGTTGGAGTTTGGCTGGTAAATACAGTCAGTTGTGTATCCAGGACAGGAGCAGTATTCCCTCCTGTATCCCCCCACAACAGTCCCAGCCCTTGACATGTGGATGCTCTGACAACAGCTCCTGGTCCTTTGACCACATACCAAATTCCCCTGCCATAGCCCAGTTGTTCTGATTCACCACAAATAGGAAGCGCGTGTTTTGCTTCTGTCGTGGCATTGGGATTATTGTTGATTCCAATCAAAGTGGCATTGTCGGTCTCTCCATACAAGACAACGGATTGGTTAAAGTCGGAAATGACGACTCCTCTGAGCTCCAAGCTTTGTGGACAATAGTCGGTGAGATCAGGATCGGATCCTGGTTTGAAGGCTGGCGGGAATCCATCGTCGTTTGCATTGTCCGAAGAGCCTCCCGATGAAATATCGTCATCATTGTTGTTGTTGTTGTTGGGAATGGGAGCTGGAGTGGGTGGGAATCTATTGGGATTGTCGGGGTCAATGATCACCTTATTGCCTTCCGTGGTGGTGGATGGATCATGATCGTTCTTATTTTTTTGTGTTCCCACTACTGCTCCAATGATAATGGCAAGAATCATCAGTAACAAACAGGAACCACCGATAACGTAGAGTCGACGACGCTTATTGGGATACAACACTCCACCCTTGTATTCCACTTCTACTTCTCGTTCGTTCTCGTCTACTACGGCCATGGGTGGTCGCATCAGTCTGCTTTTCCCTCGACTCATCCCCATTTCCTCCGGAGAGGGTAAACTGTGGTGAGACGACGGCATCTCATGGGGTCCTCTGTTGTGGGTGCTGTTGGTGTCCGAAGAAGTTTCTTCATCCTCCATGACACTGTCGCCAGTTTCAATTTCATCGTCGTCATCAGAAGACTCTTTGTGGATCAGCTGGACATTAATCTTCTTGCCACTAGTAGCAGTTGTTGTTGTTTCCGTCATTGAGCTCTCTTCGTTGAGGCTAGCGCTGCTGCTGGAGCGATGATCCACCCCGTACGGACGCAACTCATCTTGGGCATGCAGCGGTAGCACGACATCGTCATCGGCCACTTCCACAGATTCTTGCTGCGATATTGTGGCTTCGTCGTGAGAAGGAGTAATGAAGATTCTCATGGTGAAGATACTATGTTTCTTGACTTAGGTGTTTTGGTATTATAATTGTGGTGCGGACTGTGGGCACGGAAGGAAGAGCTCTCGAGGGAATGGGAATGTAAATTTTTCACTATCATTGCGGCCACAGGCAGCGGGGTTGTCACTGGGATCCTGTGTCCCGTGGTTGTGGCCAAAAGAAATTTAAAAACGCCAGCCGCTCATTCACGTGGACTGGCCTCATTTTTTCGCTTTGCAGCTCTTTCTAGTACCTGCCGGTACATCCGATAGGTAGACTATCTAGATTATCATTCTGACCATGCTCCCCGGCATTCCTGCATTGTTATCATAGATACGGTATGATAGCTATAGCCAGCTGGAAGGTACCGGTATCCAAATACCCCTGAGGCGCTCCATACACTGCTGGTCTATTGGCTATGGATCGTGGTCCAGGCAATCACTTGATCATTCTTTGTACGAGGTACCGGTCTGTACAAGGGATGCAGTGAAGGGTCGTCGTACCACGACCCATAGATTGGTGCAGGAGGAGGACTGGATGCAAATGTCAATCTCAAAGCAAGCATGCAGTCGTAAATTGACATCATAGGCGATTCGATTCTTAGTCGATGCTCCCGGGGGACGAAGGTGGCTTCGGTCTTCAGACACCAAGACGATCGAATCTTCAATCAATCTCTTCGTAGCTACTAGTAGTTCCTATACTTGTCCTACCGGTAGAAATGCATAGTTCTAGCTAGCTACGAATCCAAAAGGGGATGGCAGCTTGCTTTTTCAGACTTCAAATAGAACGTTTGATTTTACATTTACCTCCGTTGCTCTGATCAATCCCAATTGCGTTCCTCTCACATACAAACCTGCTGCTGCCTATATACCAGTTGGTCCTCCGGTCATGTAGCTTCTGGACTGCATTCCTTTGTGCGTTTAATTCTTCAAGCTAGCTCAAGTCGATGACGATTCCATTCCATTACAGCCTCCAGCCCCCTTGAAGGTGCGTCATGCGGTACGATATTATGATACCCGCATCGATATTCGAAAAGGGGCGGCGGAGCGTGGCCGTGCATGAGTCCTTCAGTTGTATTACAGTCCTCGCAACTTGTTCTTGGGTTTCTTCGAATGGAGCTTGCGATTGCCGCCGTTCTTGGGATTAGCCTTGCCTGCAAACGTTTGTGTTTCCTCTGTCGTGGTGTCCTCGTATGTGCTTCCGCCGCTGCCGTCGCCACCGGGAGCAGAATTCTCGCAAACCCACCATGGCATGTCAAGCAACTCACTATCGCACAGAAAAGGAACGCCGGCAACGGTGGGGAACAAAGGGAAAATGCCATCTTGGAAGCCATTCGCCAAGTTCATGGCGGTGGTGCCTTGGAACCAAACGGCCACCAACAGAACAACGATTCTCATGAGGCTTGTCATTTTGCCGATTGCTAACTTTTTGAAACTTTGGTTTGATGGCAAGAATATACGTTTGTGGTCTTTGTTTCGATTGCTTGCAAAGTGTGTGAGACCATCAATTGATCAACAAGCACATGGCTTCGATTGGTCGTGCGGTGTCAACGAGACGGCGAGTGCAATCTGAGTTGCCTCCAAAGAGTCGCAAAACTCTCGTGTTGGCGATTCCAAAATGTCATCGGTTGAAATAAATGGGAATGACACGCGCAACTCTTTAATTAAGCTTCCAAGGACCACGCCTATGGTATTTAATCAATTTCACAAACCTTTTGAATACAAATCATAGCTTTCGCAGCAGGCCGTACGCGTAACAGCTATGCATACCGTAGGGTCGGTGTCATTCTTTGCTTGCCTTCCGAATGATCAGTCAACCCCCTAGGCCTTGGCAGCCAGGTCGTGCCCCTCCAAACTAAAAAACGTTCGTTGTTGGCAAATACCGGTACGTCCATTCTATTCTACTGGCCCTGGGCAAACACGGTATGCATAGCGGCAAGTCCAGTCACCTCTAACCATGCAGTAAGTATCCTCGTCGTCACGTCGTTAGTTACCAGAACCAACCAGGCACATGTAAGTGCAAGTAAAGGTACCTAATTTTTGTACGGTGCGTTGACAAAGCAAAGCTCGACGGAGGTGCAGGCAACCACAGTCAAGGTGCGCGCCAATGAATTCCAGATCCGACGTGTCTTCGGCGGGTCAGCAAATTGAGATACAAGTCTCCTTGCTTGGTCTCTACCTAGAGAGAAACCTGGCTAGTTTTGGTACAGTGGGGACAAGAAGCAGAGAGGCAGGAATCTTTTAAAAGAAAGGGATCATGCCGTTCGACTCTGTGCGAAGACGTGAATCCGAAATTAGAGCTTCAGCCAAACCTTAGTTGCAAGACGAGAAGCATCAAGCTGTTTTGACGAGAAAGTCGACAGGCTAGTAATAGTGCATGTAGAAGCGACCAAGTTTGAATTTTATTTTACAATTGGTAGAACCTAAATTTTTGCTGCTGCAAGATTCCGAGAATTGGACGCTCCTTCGTTCTGGGCATCTCCTGTCCTCCTTAGCTTCATTGTCGGAATCCACGCCGCCATATCAGTTGTGTTTTATCTCATTTTACTTCTCTTCGTCGTTGGCTCCCTTTCTGAGTTGCCTTCTGGCTCCACCATCTCCAGCTGGGGCTTCTTCCACTTCTGCGTCTTGTCCGGTAGCGTCACCAAAGTTAAAGAAAGTAGCAATTGATGCGTACAATGATGGAACGGCTTGAGCATCAAAGTTTTCAGCTTGATCACAGAGATACCAAGGACCGTCGACCAGTGAGCAGAGAACGGGGGGCGTTCCAGGCAACAACGGGAAGTTCAGAGCATTGCATGGGGTGTACACAGCCTGCAAGAGGACAGTAAGGAACAGGAAAAATCGTGTACTTGACATCATGCTTTTAATAAAATAAAAAGGAGATTTTGAGTTCAAAGCTTGTTGAGTCTTTCTCTGTGTTTTGAGATTGTGAGCTATGAATGGCGCAGTTGGATTTGACAAGACTGCTGCATTGACATCATTCTGCGAGAGATAATTGTACTTGACTGTTTCTTCGATTTTTCGCAGAAAATGTGAGGCAACGGCATCAAGCGTGGAGCTCCCAAGCCAGGCTTGTGAGTAAGTTCTGATTTTAAGCAAAAGCTGTCTAATTACCTAATTGGCGCGGAAGAAAACGTTAGAGTAAGAAAACGTTAGAAATACCTCACTTCTGGGAAAACACCAATAGCTACCGCAAGAACTAGCTAGTACAGCCGTAGATAGCATGGAAGCATGGTGAGACCGTTCACTGCGTACGCACCGATGCAAGTAGATCTAAAGTGGGCTACACTTTCACCGCTGATTTTAGCATCCCGCCCGTGGCCTCAGCTCTTCTTTTGTGGCCTCGCATTAAGCGAAGATTTTGTCATTGCTGTGTGCTCCAAGGCTCTTCCCTTTGCAGAATCCATGGTTCGCAATCGTCTGACGAATTGTAGTGGCAGCATTTGATGGAACCATCCAATATCAAATTGTACATCATAGTACAAATCATCTCCCATTTCGTATAGCTGAGTCACCGTTCCTGCTAACCATTTACTTCCACGTTGATACCGTGCTTCTACCTTGTCGTTTATGGCGAGCCGATTATCAGCTTCAGGTTTGGTTGGAAGCGTTTTGGTGGGGTGTTTCTTTGCTGTCACTGTCAGTGCATTCTTTCTTGCCGACGATGTCGATAAAGGTGAAGGCGGCATTGTCGCAGTAACATGAGGTAAAATCTTGTTCACCAGTAGTTCCTTACCGGCATTCATGTTGCAGATGGAGGTTGCTGATTGCTGAGACGAACGTTTGCACACGTTCGAATCCTGGACAAGAGGAGGACCCCACTTCTGGGGCAAATTGGGATGGCTCCACCAGTGAATGATTGCATCTTGTGTCTCTCTTCTGACGTCATTTATGTCAAGATCCTCCCAACTGCCCCATTCATTTCTTCGAACCAGCCGAAGCCAGCCATTGTCTGACCCCGGGTCAGATAGAATGTTGAGGTCTAAGAGAGCTTGTCGGAAAGCCATTGGTAGTCCATGGTAAACTAGCCACAAGGGAGCATAATCCGCGACTGCCGAGTTCCACGCGATGTTTCCTGGGTGATACTGAAGGTATTGCCGAGATAGTTCGGAATCAGAGTTTGGAGACGATCGATTGTCCAAAAAGACGTCCCGATGCTTCGTCGCTACGGTTCGATCGAGGTGCCGCTGCAGGCTGGTTTCGTCCAAATCCAGCATTTGGTCTTGATTCAATTGAGTAATCAGAATATTTCGCTTTCCGAAAACCTCAGCCAAATGTGATGACGCATTGGACCAGCCGAGAAATCCCACAAGGCAGCAGGTGACATAAACGAGACAGAATCCCATCGAAGCCAATTTGGTTTCGGATGCGCCACGCTTTGTACGGTGTTGACTTGCTTCCTCATTTGCTGATTGGACCATCTGTCCAGCCACCCAGAGGACAATCCCTAGGTTCAGAATTATGGCCACATTTCGAAAGTTGCGGGCAATATCAGTGAGGTACCGTTGCCAAGAACACAAGTTGCCGTCCCCTTCTTCGATTCGTCCCTGTAAGAACCATGGCAAGGACGTCAGAAAAGGACTAATATTGGCCTTGTGAAAGGCTTCCAAGTCCATGAATCGCCACCCCATCAAATCGTTCATCATTCTAAAGGAGACTGAATGAGCAAATGACCAACCATCATCATCCTCCAGGGTGTAGATCCCAAAAGCACGTAGGAAGTTAAACAATTCGTTTTCTGTCTTTTGAATGAATTCATCCAGTAGTTCTCTCTTTTGCAGTTGTTTCCATGTCAGACCCCAGTGGTCCCAGCGAATACCAAACACAGGGCCCGGTGGAAGCACCCGAAATGGAATCAGCCATCCCTTTTCCTTCTCTAAAGACTGTGCAGTTGTGGTCGGCTGGTCACGCTCAAAATCAACGCGGTTCGTGGAGGGGCTTCTCTGTCAATGTGTGATCCTCCACGATGGTGGACATCCGAACTGTAGACCAACGCATCACCAGCTCTCCAATATTGTCGTGTTGTATCTGTGTCATTGACCGTGGCCACTGAAACGCCATGCTTCTCACAGTATCCATGGGGCGGCTTACACCGATGCGTCCCCGGGCAGATCCATGTGGCTCCCATTTCAAAGGTGGTATCCTGAAGAGGAATCAATACTGTGAAAACTTGGGTGAGTTGTCGTTCATAAATCATAGTGTTGGGATTCGTGTCGGGATGAAAGGGTTGTGCCGATGCCCCTGGCATTGCGGTAATGGTCGATAATTCTACAATGGCCACGTTGGGTCCCAAAAGTTTTTCGAGTGTTTGGGTCAAAACATTGTGCGAAGCCACTGCTTGCAGTGCCGTGGCAATGCGAGGGTCCTCACGAAGATTCAACCCAAAGCTCCTGCGCTTGTTCTGAACCAGCACGGGAATGTTATCCATGGCGGTCAAATGTTCATTGTGCTCTAATACGTAATCTCTGAGGCTTTCTGCCAATTGATGTGGCATGACTTGTGGGAGCACTGTGGCACCATGATAGAGCACCGCATCCAGAGCTTGCTCGGCAGTCTTGGGAAACCCATTTGTCAGTGGATGGAATGGTTTGACGATGGGTTCCTCTTTGCTACTAGCCATTTGACAAGGAAACCAATCATGTTGCCAGGGCGAGCGCTTGATCCCACCAATACCATTGTCAACTTTCCACAATTCCTCTTTCTTCCAGACCAGCGACTGGAGATAGCTTTGGAAGTGGTCGTCGTGAATCTTGACGAGAATTCCGGGTATCAGCCAACTGGCGCTCGTGAAGATTGCTACTACCGTCGTCATCAAAAGAACCAGGGAGAATGGAATCTCGAGAGGTGCATTGTGGTATTTAGTTGTAGTGGTTGATTTCTTGATGACTTTTCGTCTTATTGTAGTTTTCTTCACGGTTATCTTGGATCCACCGCTGGAAGATTCACTGTTTTGCGCCATTGTGACATTTGCTCCTTACTTTGGTAGTTGGTAGAACTTGACGATTGATACCGGTAAAACGACTTGGATAATGGTGAACTCGACGTTTCTCGCCTCTCCCAAAGTCAAGTACCAATTGCATACAACAAGGTGACACAAAGACTCAAAGAGCTACACACCGCAAGAGAAACAAATTTGGGGGCTCGAGAAAGATCCAAAGCTTCCGGTACGGCTGTGGCCACAGCTTGATAATAATATTATTCATATGCCCCCTGGGTCGTCTCCGTTTCCATAAATCTTTTATTACCAACACCTAACTCCCTTTATTGAAACAGTATTCGCGCGCTCCGCGCGCTCATCCCTTTCAGCTTCGCCCCGAGCCTCGAAACTGCTCCCTCGTCATTCATGCAAAACATGTGAAGAACGCAAGGCGACTTTCATGTGCATGTACATGCGTTGACTGTATCCCGTCAATACAATACTAGTCGAATACGTAGACTTCTACAGAGGCCTCTAAGTAATGCACGCGGGGTATAATTCAAACCTCCACTCCCCAAAAGTACCCTTACCCCTAAAAGCAAATCGTCTCCGGGAGACGAAATTATTGCCAGGGTCTGTTCGCCTCGAGCGTCGATCGGAGCTGCCAGCTTTCACGGATTGGCCTCTAATTACAAACCCACTCAGAAGGTTACTTACATTCTGGCGAGTCTTTGCAATTGCTTCCACTATTCGTTTTCCATAATGTTTCAAAGACAAAACTGCGGGTGTGTGTCGCAACATCGTTCTATCTCAGCTTTGCAACTGGCTGTTGCTGTGTCAAGCTACCGTAGTTAGAAGGGAGATTAGCTTGATTTTGCTGCCAATTAGGAGCCTCTCTCCTTGATACCCACCGTGCCAATGGACTACTCCTTTTCGGATTCCTACGAATACGTCGGCGACACGACGACAAGCTCTGAAGGGCACTACAGCCAGAGTCCAAGTGAAAGTCTGAGTAGCAGTGCTAGACCAAACTCGACGCCGGTGAGCAGAAGCGGAAACAGCAGTCGCGGTGCAAGTGCTCGTGAGAGTGGTCGCAGCAGCTACGGTAGTGGTGGTGGTGCGAGTGTCGATAGCAGCGTCAGGGCCACCGATGGACAAGGCCGGGTGGGCAGCAGAGCCAGCAGTAGAAGCAGTAGAAGCAGTCAAAAACGTCAGGAAACAAGAGCAGCATCAGCCCCTACCATTGGACTTGTACTTCCCATCAAGCCAAACAAGGAAAACCGGAATACGATTGGTCGAAGCAGTCACGATCCTATTATCATGACCTCCCAGCCATCATCGGAGCTACCGGTACTGGCTGCTCCTGAAGTGGATTACACTGGTCTGACCATGCAGTCTGTCAACTCAACACCTCTCTTTGAAGCCATTCGTACCCGTGAATGGCGTCTTTGTTTCACGTTTCTGAGAAACGACTACTCTTACGATGGATCCATGCTACCTCCCCAGGACCAGGTACGAGCATGGGTGAGCATGTACCGTTCCGATGGAGTACTATTGTACACTCGGCTTCCCATTCACGAGGCACTATCTCGTGGGGCTCCCGCAGATTTGATCCACATACTGCTGCAACAGCATCCATTGAGCGTCGAAATTCAGGATTCCAACGGGAATTTGCCGCTCCATCTGGCAATGGCTAACAATGCGGAAAGGCTCGTCATTGAATTGATTATTCAAGAATACCCGTTGGCCATGGAAGTGACCAATGGACAGGGGAAGCTACCTTCGGAATGTGGCAGACTAAGCAGAGACGCGAACGACTCTTCTCCTTTGAGGGGTGAGGTTCTGAAGAAGTATGTGGATAGTGCCAAGGAGGTAGCCTCACAACAAGTTCCCAAGCTCAAGGACAAGCTGTTTGAAGTCAACAGAACCATTGAAGCTGCCAAGTCAGAATTACGAGTGGCCAAGATGGAGCTGGGGATGATTAAACAACAGGAGAAGATGCGCTTGCAAAACAAGGAGAAGGAAGAGAATCGAATGAAGGAGGAGGTACTGCGGTTGCGATCTGAATTGCAAAGCTTGAGAAACGAGCAAGAGCTGCTCTCGGCGGAAAAGCAACTATGGGCTGAAAAGGCACTGTTTCAACAGGATCACCAAGAACAACAAGGTCAACAACCTCAACCCCAACCGCAGCAGCAGCAACAACAACACCAAATCATTGTACTAAGCGACTCAGATAGCGACGACACCCATTGGATTGCCACGGAGTTTAGTGAAATGGTTTCGGAGCTCGAACAGACGACCCGCACAGTGCACCAAAGGCAACCATCGAAAAGGTATGATCGAAGTGCGGAACACTACAAGAAATCACAAATGGTATCGAAGACTTCGAGAGGCGGCATCACAACTTCGTTGTTTCGTCCAAAGTTGGATACAATGAAACTGTCAAGGGAATTCCGCGAACTCCAAGAAAGCGTCACCGAATCCACCGATTTGTCGCAAGACTTGAAGGACCCGCAGCTGAGTGTTGAGGACACGGAAACTTCTAGAGCCAGCAATGACGATGATGACTATCTAACTATTCGACTCATCCGCGAGCAGCTGGAACGGAGCCGCAAGAAGCTTGACAGCCGCTCCAACAGCGAAGACAAGGAAGATGAGTCCTCGCGCCGATCGGGAAGTAGCCATTTGGTGGAGGGTGCGCACAGTCGAGAAAAGGACGAACGCTTTCTTTCACTCGACGAGAGGCTCCGCGGTGTTGTTGATAATTACGTTTCCGTGAATGAGAGACTCAAGAACGTCATCAATGAACCTGACAACAAGCCAGAGACGCAAGAGAGCCCTCCCCGTGAGGTTACCGATAAGAGTCCTCCCACTCATGGTCCTCGTGCCCCCAGTGATAGCGCCCCGGAACAAAGAGAGGACCCATTCATCGGCCTTGCGAACATTCGTAATGATCTCGATGGAGACGCCTCGAGAGATAGCGGACGCAACAAGGAGGCTTCGCTGGACATCCTCCCACGGTCTACACATAAAAGCCCGGTAGGTAGAGATGATGACGTCCCTTCCCTTACCCGGAGTAATTCCGACGGCCGGAACAGTCAGTCATCGAGACGAAGCGGCAGAGATGCTCTGGAGGGGATATCCAAAGTCGCGAGCGATAGCAGCGAAACTAGTTTGAGAGAGGGAAACAGAAAAAGCCCTCTCCGCAGAACTCGAAGCAGCAGCAGCAGCCCTCACAGCAGAGAAGAAGGAAGCAGAGACAAGAAATTGCATGGCGTTGAAAGGAGCTCCGCCGATGTATGCGGACGCATTTCTAGAGAAGGATCACCGAAGGGCGACGAAAACAGACCAAGAACACTTGATATTGAGTCAACCGTTCTCACAGAGGACGATTTGCGCAGTATCAATCGCAATTATCAATCTATAGGAGCCACAAGAAGTCAAGAGAGGCCGAACAGTACTATGATCGTCGAGCGTCCTGGTTCCATACTAGAAGAGAGGTCGACCAGTGTCGTCGTTGAGCATCCCTCAGACGATAGGCCCAGCAGCGTCGTCGTCGTTGAGAACCGCAGACCCAGCAGTGTCGCCGTTGTGGAAGATCCAAGTTCTAACCGAGAGGAGAGGCCCACAAGCGTCGTCGCGGGAAGCCAAGGATCGTTTCACAGCAGAGGCTCCTCGAGCACACAAAAAAGAGGCCACGCAAGTGGCTCGCCGATCGACATTCTACGAAGCAAGTCATCAAGCAACTCTAAACTTGAGAAAAAACTCACCATGCTCTCGGAGAACACAAACCCAACAACGGCTCGTTGGAACTGCAATAGCATGGCGGATGACTTGACCTGCCAGGATGACGAGGAAGAAGGGAGTAAGGAAGAAGTGACGGGTGTCATCATGAATAAAGGTACTCTGCTAGCATCAATTCGATCCGTTCTGTTGGCATCAGATGGTACCACAAGCTCTGTTCAGCAGGAAGGCTCACCCCCTGTTGATGACATCGTGAGCGTCACCGATGTATCCGAGGCTTTGGATAGACACTACGAAGAGCAACGCCACGAAGGAGACGAGGAGGAGGAGGGCGTCGTCGTGAACAAGAATGCTTTGATAGCTTCCATAAGACAGGTATTGTTGGCTTCAGATGCTGCTTCTGACTCTGGCAAACCGGAAACGGCCATCGACAGGAGTGACCCCGCCGTTGCCGAAAGATCCTACGCCTTCAAGACATGTGAGGATGATGATGCACTTTCGCCTTTGAACAAAAGCGTACTACTAGCGTCAGCTCGAGATATCCTATTGGCTGCGGAAGGCAGCACGAAGAAGGAAAACCCGTCTACCGGGATCAACAGGAACAACACAGACGTGAGCGATAAATCCACAGTCTTGTGGAAGAGCTATGGGCCCAAGGTCGAAGCAAACAAGGAAGTGGCACTCTTAGAAAAAAGAGAGCTACTAGCTTCGGCTCGAGAGATCTTATTGGCCTCGGAAGAAGCTTCTGTTTCCAAAGACGACGAAGAGGATGCCCGCATACTATATAAACGGGCGCGGTCACCTCAAGACTCAGTCTCTGTCCAACATCAGCTCTCCAGGGTTAGTGCATTATCCACACACCTGTTGGCATCGGAAGACGAAAGAGACGAAGCAATTGTCGACGACCGGAATGACACAAGTGTTGGTGACAGATCCGTTGCGTCGCGGAGAGGGCATGTGTCGTTTGCCGACGAAACGACGATATACGAGGAGGCAAGGGAGGGATTCTCATCGCAATTCAGCAAGTTTGACGACGTTGTAGACAAAGCCATGTCAAGAATCAGTCTGAAGACGAACAATGGAAGCAGTAGAAACAGGAGTCACCGTCGTGGCCACAGCCGAGGACGAGGCAATCCCCGCGGAATCGTGCAGCCGATGACGGCGCAGGCAATGAGGCACATCTATGTCACGGGCGAGGACAGGGTTGAAATCCTCAGTTCAGAGCCCAAGTATACCTACAGACCGGGAAAGTCGTCATCCTCGGTTGCACACTCGGAGGGGGCAGTTGCATTGGGAGGAGAGTTGTACCCATCTGGTTCTGACGGGTATACCTCCGAGCTCTAGCTCTCTCCCCAGTTCTGGCGCAGCGCTCCTTGTTTCGATTGCATCTTCCAAGCATGGAAACGAATAATTCAATTGTATGCCCGAGTGGCAAGCGTAACAGAAAGACAGCTAACGTTGCATAACATTGTATACATCTCGAACGCTGTCTTAGATTCGATTGCTTCTGACTTCCACTTTCACGACGCAACGCTACCTGGTATCCAGAGTGCGGGCTGGATGAGGTTGCAAAGCAACTGGATGACGGACTCGACTCTTGAAAGCTCTCTTGAGCAACCCGATTTAATGGAATCAGAATGACGACGAAGGCTTGGACACCAAACAAAGCCCGACCCGAATCATACGGTATGATGGGGATCTGGCAAGAGGCAAGAGGCAAGAGTAGCTCAAGAGTGCAAGCTATGGATTCCAATCGCAGTTCGCTTTCGTTGGCGGAACGTGTTGGAGTGGCGGTTCGGAAGTGCAAAACTGCGTCGCCAAGGACTTCCCGTCGCTCCACAATCGCCGCAGCCTAATAAACTGTCCTTGTACGTGGTTGCCACAGCTTGCTGGTTGACGTTCTGGCCTCATCGATCATAGAGTTTCCGTTCTAGTTCCAGTTGTATCTTGGGGCTCTTATTAGTGTAGCCGTGTGGGCTCAGATACTAGGCATGATCGCAACTCCATCATGACCATGAGAACAGAATACGGGCCTGCATCGAGTCCACCTGTACGGAACTCCTTGGCTTGAATCCGAAGCTCAGTTGATGAGCTGGCGGGATTTCTTCACCATAGTCATACCGGTATGCTCATGGTGGATGGTTTGGGCGTTGGGCAGCCGAAGCACAAATCCGATCTCCTCAGAGCGGTACGTCCTAATACCTTGTTCAACGTTCAACATGGCAGCATGAGCGTACTACGGTAGGCATTCTCCGCCGCAAGGGCCTTTGTGCCCTTCTGCCCCCAAGCTATTCAAGGATGTCCCGGTTCGAAACCAAAACCCGAATAGTTACCGAAGCGACTAACCGGACCCCCTTAGGGGGAGACATACAAACCAAACCAAACCAAAAATTTCCGGACCCCTGGCAGCCGAAAAGGGGTGAAAGGCAGTGATATGATTGGTTAGTCAAGCTAATACGTCAGGAAGTATGTCGCAAAAGATTCAAATATACTTAACGTACCATTTATAGTTATTACGGATACAATGTGCTATCAAGTTCGAAATTTCGTGTTCCTTTCGTTCGAAAAGAAAGATTCCATCGGAGCCTGTCGATCGACGATGACAACACCACCACCGGCAACACCACCGGAGAGCCACTCGACAGTCATTATCTCAGCCAAAAAGCCACCAACAGCAGCAGCAGAAGACAGCATCATGGAGCCACCAACAGCAGCAGCAGCAACAACACAAAATGAAGGGATGGGCTGCCAGAGTCAGAATAGGAATCCACAACAGAAGAGAGCATTCCAACTCGCCAGAAACAACAACCCAAGATCATCCAAGAGAGCGAGAGAAGAAGGAGCCCAAACAGCACTGGAAGGAGGGATAACAGAAGTCTTTGATCCACTCAGACACTGTCAGGTCTGTAGGGCCAGACATCTTGGTTTCAGAGTCCCCAAGAGATCACACTCTGTCTTCTGTATGAAGAATACAATAACAAAAGGACAAGGACCTTTGAATGCGCTGACAATGGAGACAATCAAAGAAAGCAGGAGACTCACAAGGCAATTCAGTGCTCCCCTTCCACTGAATGAGAGAGGAAGCTGGAGGCATTCCACAAGAGAAAATGGAGAAGCTTTCTTTGCTCCCAGAACAAATACAGCCAAAGCCACAGCCAAAGCAACACCAAAGTACAAGGCCATGGCTACTCCAGCTGTGTTCTGCGAGAAAGTCACAGCTCTTGTAGAGGATGCCACCTTTGTGGAGAAGCACAAGACCAAAATAGCTCCTCTGGCTATGATTGCAATGGCAGAAGCAGTGTCAGAATCCATTACCAGATCAAAGAACCAGGAGCTATTCCAGCAACACTTCCAAGGACTCACCATGACAGTCCCACCCACAAAGGACCAATTCGAGTCTCCTCACTACCACTCCATTGTTGGGCAGAAACTCCTTCTAGTGGACTGGAATCGATGTGGAATCACTGTACCCTGTCCTGATGGAAAATGCTCTGGCAAACTCCAGAATGATAGAAGCAACTGGTCCCGAAACAAGACTCTGTTCCCAATCTTTGGCATTGCTGGACTCCATCTTGGTGTATGGTCATGTCAATGGTGTGTAGCTGCTGCAGAAGAAGATTCGATGCAAACAAGCAGAGGTCCTGGTGTCTATCCCAGAGCATGTTTCCTTCTTGTATCCAGTTGAGTCCAAGTATGCTTTTGCCAAGAGTGACTATCACTGGGAAGAGAGGCAACAGAAGCTTTTGATTGTATCATGGTCCCTATGGAATGGGGACCTCTGCAGCCGCCTCCTTTCAATGCAATCAACAGAGAGTATCGTAGAGCCATGATGTCTTATTCTCTACTGGCAAGGAGTGGAAGATCCTACCTTTCTTCAAAAGGATGGACTTACATAAACACATACCCTCCTCTGTTGACACAATCCGTGACTTCTTGATAGGCTGCTGCATCCAACAGAAAACCATGGAGGATCAGTGAAAACACAAGACACACAAGAGAGATCCAAAGTGTAAGTTGCAACAAGGGTATCTTATGTCAAGACCACACTTTCCATCCAGTCAAGAACTACATGAGGAGAGAGGTTGGAAGCAGTGCTGTTGGGAGCTGCACCGAAACTGGAGAGAAATAGCTCAGCAGTGCTGGTTCCACCACCAAGACCACCATCTACTCCCATGCAGCCATGCAGATAGCAAGGAGGAGACACTTCAATCCAGCTGCCATGTATAGTGACACCTGGCCAAACAAGGATGACTACTGGGAGATACCCTTTCCAGCAATTGAGGGAAGACTTGGCCTGTTCCATTATGAGAAGAGAATACTTTCAACTTTGAGGAAGGGCCACATTGATCACTTGCAAGCAATGACAGACCTTTTGTACTGCCTGTATGAGTACTTGCCTGAGGACTATTAGAAGCTTCTCTATGCTCTTAAACATGGTCTCCTATCAGCTGATGGCAAACACTATTACATGGTGGAGATCTCAGACCTGCAATCATCAAGGGTCTTCAGTAACAGATACTCCAAGTACCTAAGGAAGAGATGAGAGAAATGAAACAATGAGCGCATGAAGATTCAACAGTGGGTTCTGCAGACAAGGTGAAGCCAGTGAGGGCAAGCCACCTGGCAAAGAGCCTGCTGGATCCTGTCAAGAAATTTACCTTGTACACTCCAGACACCAAGCCAGCAGTATACAACTGCATTGAGAAAGCAATTCACTTGGCTGATCCAATACCAATGGAGCAAATGTAAGACACAATCCAACCATCTCACAACTCCAAGCACAATCTTACAGAGTACCACAATCAGGAGAGAGAGTTCCAAAGTTAGAGTTTCCATCGACAAGCTTTGCCCATTTGGCAATGGTTGGAATATGCCCAGGAGCTGCTGATGCTCTCAACTTGCGGCAGCTCGCTAGGATACAACCTTCAGATCGCTCACAAAGAGCCTTCTGCAAGATCAGTCTGGCAGAACCAGGAAGTCATTCCAGCTGGATGTGAGAAGGTTGTTCCTTACTGTAACCATTCAGAGTTGGCTACCTATGACATGGCGAGGCTGTTGGTCTGGATGCACCATTTCCAAAGGCAGAACCACTGCCAGAGTATAATGGAGAAAGATTCTATTCAGAGTACATTGTTGGATTAAAACCTCACAGGCAGAAGTAATCACCAAATGATTGTTGCTTATGTACATTGTGCACCAGTACAGTTGAAAGCTTTCCAACAACCACAACGGTTTCCAACAATCCACACCGGTTCCACAACCACACCACAACCACAACCGGGTCCAACAGCTCCAACCTCCACCACCCAATCACCAACCAAAGAGCCCTCCGTAGGCAACAAACAAGAAATTCTACATATGGTAACCCTGATTTAATATCACAACTAACACCAGATCAAAGACGCAACTTGCGTGCCTAATAGCACGCAACCAGCCCGATACTGTGCCTCTCTTCCAGCAACCCTCGCTCGCCACAAAAGGCTGCGTCAGCGGCTACTTGCCAATGGCTGACCAACAGAAGAGGAAGGCCACCACATGATGCCTATTGCCAAGCTCGATGGAGTGCATCACAGGCTGGGTAGCAACAACAAAGATTGAGATACATAACTTTCATTTCTAATTTAGCCAGTAACTTACATAAAATTTCCACAATGTACTGCATTGTGTGGTTGCAAGAATCCAAGGTTGTCAAGGTCTTCAATGCAATCATAAACAAAAGTCTCACTCATCAAATTCAATATCTTGAAGGAGATTCGGTTGTTGTAGTCATACCAATGGGTACAATACCCATGCCAAGCATCAATCACAATCTGTCCTTCATTGGATTAGAAGTCATAGCTCTTGGTAATCGTTTCCTTCACTAACCAATAGAAGCACTCAATGAAGATGTCTTTCCTTTCACAGGGATGTGTCCTCCACATGCATAAAAGGGGTGGAGAGGAACAGTACTACCATTGGGCTCTTCTAAGTCGCCAATTACATGACATGTATCCATGATGCCTGCATACTAAGAAAGAAGGCTTGCTCCTCTTGCAATCCCTTTGCAAATCATCTTCTCAACAATGGGCCATGCAAATTCCATCGGGCGAGCACAATGAAATTGGTTGTTGGCGAATCTCGCATCAGCCCTGGTTTTGGGCAAAAACGTAG